ATTAATAATTTATAAATGAGTAGACCTGTTTTCTTAACTCTTAAGTAGAAATTTTGAAACTAATACTCATAAAATACATTCAAGCAAAAATGATTGAAATAGATAATCTAAATAAATCAAGTATTAATTTACTGTACCATGGCAAAGTGAATAAAACACAAAACTAACTTTTGACTAAACGTTACCTTTTAACTAATAAAATGTAAAAAGTTGTACAAGTATATGGTAATGATATACAGCTCTACTGTGTATAAACACTAATTTGCCAGGAACATACCTGAGGTGAATTGATGTCATTGTTAGTCATACAGTAACTGGGGGACCATTCTCCAAGACTCTGTTCTGCTTCAGCTGAAAAGTAAAACTCATTCTACAAAAATGTTTCGACAATGCTTGAATTCAATGTTTTTTCAGTAAGTTGATACCTTTTGTAAGAAGTTGATAACAGGAAACGCAAACACGAGAATCAATGTTTCCTTGATATTCCAATTTGTATTTCATATTACAGCATTTGTTGCATAACACCTTACCACATGCACGACAATGGTGCCGTCTTTTGAGTACCGTAAACCTTACATCGCAGAACATACAACTGGGCGCGTCGCTATCAGGAACCCAGAACGGTGGTTGCTTTCCTAGAACCGAATTGGATTCCGGTAACGAATTATCTAGGATGTCTGACGAGGGTTCTTGTTCTTCTGCAGGGCCATCAACATTTGATTGCGTTTGACCCGATGATGTATCGTTTGCAGAACTAGAACCGAGAGTCTGACGGTCGTTCGTGTTATTCGATAAAACAATATCCAACGTCTGAGGACGCGCCGGTTTCTCTGATTCATCGTTGGTATCGCTCGTGTTCGCTTTTACCATGATTTCATTCAGCAAACTATTGTTCCAGTACTTTGTTGTATCATCTAATAATCGCTCTATCAAATATTTTTCATCGGGATTATCAGACGAAGGCGAAGCATCGTTTTGCAGCTTGAGTTCATTGGTCTGACTATCAGGCGCAGCACCTTCTTTTTGTTTACTCGATTGCTTGTCCGTTTCATCGCTGATCGATGGTTCTTTCTTTGCATTTAATTTGTATGTACAAAGCTCTTCAATATTTTTGTTACTATTCTCTTCGGCCATATGTTCATCCGCCGAAACTACATGAACATCTTCGTGTTTGATTTGGTCCTGTTTTACTTTACTGTTTGTATCATCTACATCGTTGCCGCAGTTATCTTCTTTGATGCCGTCATCGCTTTGTTGAGTTTGCTTTTCCGCTTCATTAACATGCAATTCTTTACCTAGTTCTTCTTTCTTATGACTAATTGTTGAAACATTTTCTAATTCATCGATCGGCTCTTTCTGTGTTACATCTAAAAGTTCTATATTCTTTGAACTCTGTGACGAATCCGTTTGATCATGTATCAGATTTTGCACCGCATTTATTGCTCCAATTCGATGTCTATCAATTTCTTCTTGTAATTCCTGGTCTTGTTCCAATTCAGCTAAATACTTTGTCAATACATCCTCTGATAAATCAGCAATCTTATCAAACCTAACCGGTTCTTGTACAGGAATAATCAAGTTTTTCTTAGATTTATCAGATGAATCGGAATTATTTATGCACAATTTCTTTTCACTTTCGTCCGGTTGTATTTGAAATTCCTTTTCAAATTTCTGATCTTCAAACGTTGAAGTACAGTTTTTATCTATAAGATCGACATTTTTATGTACAGAATCAAAATTATGCAGACTACAGGTCGCTTCGTTTGAGACTTCTACCTTATTACTTAATTCGCTGGAATCGTCGGTTACAGTTACATCGCTGGATATTACTGTTTCATTTTTAGTTTCTTCAAAACCTATTGTATGAGCATTATTTGTATCATCTTCTGTAATTATATCGTCGAGCGTGGCANTTTTCAATTAATAATTTATAAATGAGTAGACCTGTTTTCTTAACTCTTAAGTAGAAATTTTGAAACTAATACTCATAAAATACATTCAAGCAAAAATGATTGAAATAGATAATCTAAATAAATCAAGTATTAATTTACTGTACCATGGCAAAGTGAATAAAACACAAAACTAACTTTTGACTAAACGTTACCTTTTAACTAATAAAATGTAAAAAGTTGTACAAGTATATGGTAATGATATACAGCTCTACTGTGTATAAACACTAATTTGCCAGGAACATACCTGAGGTGAATTGATGTCATTGTTAGTCATACAGTAACTGGGGGACCATTCTCCAAGACTCTGTTCTGCTTCAGCTGAAAAGTAAAACTCATTCTACAAAAATGTTTCGACAATGCTTGAATTCAATGTTTTTTCAGTAAGTTGATACCTTTTGTAAGAAGTTGATAACAGGAAACGCAAACACGAGAATCAATGTTTCCTTGATATTCCAATTTGTATTTCATATTACAGCATTTGTTGCATAACACCTTACCACATGCACGACAATGGTGCCGTCTTTTGAGTACCGTAAACCTTACATCGCAGAACATACAACTGGGCGCGTCGCTATCAGGAACCCAGAACGGTGGTTGCTTTCCTAGAACCGAATTGGATTCCGGTAACGAATTATCTAGGATGTCTGACGAGGGTTCTTGTTCTTCTGCAGGGCCATCAACATTTGATTGCGTTTGACCCGATGATGTATCGTTTGCAGAACTAGAACCGAGAGTCTGACGGTCGTTCGTGTTATTCGATAAAACAATATCCAACGTCTGAGGACGCGCCGGTTTCTCTGATTCATCGTTGGTATCGCTCGTGTTCGCTTTTACCATGATTTCATTCAGCAAACTATTGTTCCAGTACTTTGTTGTATCATCTAATAATCGCTCTATCAAATATTTTTCATCGGGATTATCAGACGAAGGCGAAGCATCGTTTTGCAGCTTGAGTTCATTGGTCTGACTATCAGGCGCAGCACCTTCTTTTTGTTTACTCGATTGCTTGTCCGTTTCATCGCTGATCGATGGTTCTTTCTTTGCATTTAATTTGTATGTACAAAGCTCTTCAATATTTTTGTTACTATTCTCTTCGGCCATATGTTCATCCGCCGAAACTACATGAACATCTTCGTGTTTGATTTGGTCCTGTTTTACTTTACTGTTTGTATCATCTACATCGTTGCCGCAGTTATCTTCTTTGATGCCGTCATCGCTTTGTTGAGTTTGCTTTTCCGCTTCATTAACATGCAATTCTTTACCTAGTTCTTCTTTCTTATGACTAATTGTTGAAACATTTTCTAATTCATCGATCGGCTCTTTCTGTGTTACATCTAAAAGTTCTATATTCTTTGAACTCTGTGACGAATCCGTTTGATCATGTATCAGATTTTGCACCGCATTTATTGCTCCAATTCGATGTCTATCAATTTCTTCTTGTAATTCCTGGTCTTGTTCCAATTCAGCTAAATACTTTGTCAATACATCCTCTGATAAATCAGCAATCTTATCAAACCTAACCGGTTCTTGTACAGGAATAATCAAGTTTTTCTTAGATTTATCAGATGAATCGGAATTATTTATGCACAATTTCTTTTCACTTTCGTCCGGTTGTATTTGAAATTCCTTTTCAAATTTCTGATCTTCAAACGTTGAAGTACAGTTTTTATCTATAAGATCGACATTTTTATGTACAGAATCAAAATTATGCAGACTACAGGTCGCTTCGTTTGAGACTTCTACCTTATTACTTAATTCGCTGGAATCGTCGGTTACAGTTACATCGCTGGATATTACTGTTTCATTTTTAGTTTCTTCAAAACCTATTGTATGAGCATTATTTGTATCATCTTCTGTAATTATATCGTCGAGCGTGGCAGGCAATTCTGTGCTTGTAGATGGTGCAACATTCTCGACAACTGTAATCAAAGCTTCTCTATTTGAACTTCTTGTGTCGTTTACTTGCTTATAGATTATACTCACTTTCTCGTCAACATCTTTAACAGAGCCACGAATTAATTCAGACGCTTCGGTTCCATAATGAACACTTTCAGGTTCTATAGCGGGTTGTACTTCTTCATCTTCTAATACAGAGTCAATACAATCTGAACTTCCAGGTGGTGCATTTATATATTCATTTAAACTGTTAAAGACATTACTAACACTAGGCTTTGAATTAAATTGATTCAACTTTTTATCATACCTATTGTCAATTTTTGGACTACCATGACCGTTTTGTTGTTTCTGCGTTAACTTTTGCGATATGTCATTGTGTATCATTACAAGCGGTTCCATGTCATATGGTAAGACAGACTGTTTCTGCGCTAACTTGTTGTCATTCGTACATTCTTGCATATAAAAATTATTAATGTTCTTTCCACTATCTGCTTCTGTTTCTTCTTTGTTGTAACTCGAATCTTCCTGAACCATATTCTTCTCATCGGGACAGCTGCTTCTAGCATTGTGTTGCACATCCTTGTGCCTTTCCAATGGTATTATAACATCGCGTTCTTTGTTCGTTTTTCTAGGCTCCATCAAAAGATAATTATACAGCATCGGGGAGTCCATATTACACTTGGTCGCCGAAGACGACGCATTGCTAGAAGCGACATTAACGGATGCTGTTTGTTCCGCGCAATCTAAAAGATACGTTTTTCGTGTTAATCGTTTATCACGATAATTCCGTAAAACCGCTGTCACTCGGAAACTTGTTAACAACGGAGAATTTATTGTCGTATTCTTACCTTCGTTAAATTCAAATTCGTCCAAAACCTTGTCTAAATCGACGACAAACTTTTCCATCGCGGTGTGAACGTCACTTACACTGATCGTAAGGTCATTTAACGAACATGTTTATCCGGCTTTTGAGAAACAACGAATAGAATGCCCGTGAACGATGTCCATCGGAGGAATTTATACGACGTAATTTTCGATTTTCCCGCTGGCCGTTGTTCTCGAGCAATTTAAGTTAAGTAGAACGACGGTGTCAGTCGGTTTAGCAGGTTTAACGGCTAAGGGAACGCGACATTTTTGACAGACACGACGAATCTATGGAAAACGGAATCGTCTTACGTACACAAATCACTTTACGTTTAGGTATCCTTGGTCAGTAATGTGTATCATTGCGTTTGCCTATGGCGTGCAGCCGTGACATTGACGACACGAATCTTCATTCGAGTCACGCGTCCCGTGGGAGCGCTCCGCGACGATCAAAGGAACAAACGTGAATCCTTTATCGTCACGTGGATTAATTGACAGTAGAATAATTCCTTATACATGCTCGCGCAGAATTTGCCCATGGAACTGTCATTCTGTGAAACCAGAGAGACGGGACGAACCTCCTATCCTATCGATAAATCGAATTTCGCAGCTGCGTGACGGTCTCGATCGATCGATTGTTCGAATGAGACCGGTGGTGCTCGACAACGACAACCAAATTTTAACCAACGAATTATCAATATTTACTGTTAAACAGCGAGTAATTAATTAGAACTATCTCTACTTATTCGTCTCGAACTATGTTCAAGAAAACTATTAGTCCATTATGGTTAGGTTAACCGTAATTTTATGTTTCCAGATTTGAATACCGCGCCTTGGAAATCGATTCCTTCGATCAGTCAGCCTTTAACAGCGTTAAATACGTATTCAAGAATTGTTCGAAATCATCCAAAACGTGCAAGATGTATCTGTACGTATTTTATTATTTCAATACCGTTCTGATTTTAAAAACGACGGTACACCGATTTTGTTTCGTTCTTCGAACATAGGTGGCGTTATATGCGGATAGGGCTACATACATATTGGCTATTTGAACTTTTTCAAAATTCATCAGTATTCGGACGACTTGTGAAATTGTTAGGTAAGTCGGTTCTTATACTTACCTGTAGAGTTGATTAAAATTTTCTAAAATTCTGTTGTTTCAGACGGATGATCTGTTCCACAGAATTAAACTTTTTCATGCGATAATTACGACGATAATTCTTCTCTAGCGGAGTAAAATGTTAGTACATCGTAATAAATAAAAAAGTCTTGGAACAGGTAAGAAGCAAAATATACAAAGTTCTGGATCTTAGGGATACCGTTCCTTATTGCGTACAGATCAATGAATATAAATAAATTTTACGTATGTTTTTTCGAGCCTTTCGATAGAATAGTACCATTCATTTTTATATGTTTTTGTTTGACACCCCATAACTGTAATTCTCCCTTTTCAGTGGCGCAACAGCAAGAAAACTTTACCTCTGGTATCCATATGCTTATTAAACTGAAAAGCACCAGCGTGTTCAACGATACCCGAACGAGTTTCCTTTGATACGGCCACCCACCGAAATAAGTCAGAAGATACTTCGCCTGCGAGTACGCGGGATTTTCAAAAAAATCCATGGCTGGCCGTTTACCTTGTCGATTTCTCGACTAGCGTACGATGGATAATGTCAATGGCGAATGGTGAATTTGCCATGAGAAAGAAAGTACGGGAAAGAAATTGTCGGGACAGTCGGATAATCATGTAACCGTGCGGTTTCAATTTACATTGAAATTTGCATGAGGACGGAATTTGCCTTGTTCCGCGAACAGAAACACGCGCGAGAAAATTGCCATCGATCTGTGCATATGGCTAGACTATCTAGTGTAGCATTGATAGCACCCGCTCGGAAAATAATGCAGATAATACAACCTGTCAATGTGGGGACATGTAAAATGGGAACATGACCTGCTAGGTTGATATTCTTCTCAGGTCCCGAAGAATCGTTGGGGTTGCAACGAACGATCCGATTACACCGTTACATATTTAAAGCTAAGCATCTGCAACAGTAGCAAGACTCCTCGCTTCGTTTCATTTGTATCCTTTTTGAATGATCGGACACGTCACTTTCCTGTAAGTTCCCGTAAATCCGATTGTGACATTATACTTTTAACTTTGACTCTTAAAAATAATATGGATAATTCGATTTTTTGTTACATATCCAGGAAGAACGCCGAAGGACCAAGTTCTTTATCGCTCTGTGAAGAACGGACTTTACGGAGCGGACAATGAAACTTAGACGGAACTAGACCCATGTTATTTTGTTGTCATCAACTCTAGATACTTCAGCTATGTTCTTGAAATGAATGTGTAGATCGTTGCAGTCGCTTTCTGTATTATGCGAATTAGCGTTTGAAGGGAAATCATTCATGTTACGAAATGTTTATAATTGTGTACTGCGTGAAAATCGCGGCACTTCTTTTCGGGTTGTATATGTTCACGATTTTGCGATGCGAGTTACATCATTTATACAGATGGAACAGATTATGGAATATCAAAAAATAATGCCTTCTCGACGAACAGTACCATAAGCGGGAATATTTTTCGCATTATCCATTGACGACACTTGCCCCATAATCAATTTGTTTGAAACCAGTTGCGACCTAATTATAATTGATTTTTCAGTTCGACAAGATGATGCAGCTATGGAATGAGAAAAAGTATAACAACTTTATCCAGTGCGTGCCACCGTATTTGACAATGTTCGCAGCGACGGCAAAGTATGTTAACGTTATGGTGAAAATTGACAAGGTAACGAACTCGAATCGGTTTAGAAGATCAGATGGCATTGATTCATGGATACACGACGCTTACAGGTCAGAGACTTGCTCACATTTATTAAGATCGATTCGGAACGGTGGGCAAATCAACCGGAAGATAAGATTTACCGTGCACTCAGCATGAAGGGAAGGCTATATGTTCAAATTCTTGTAGGTAAATCGATTGCAATTCGTAATTAACTAGACTGTAGACTTTTTGAATTACTCAGAATGTCCCGCATAATTCAGGTAACTTAAATGCCTTGCCTCGATGTTCTGAGGGTTTACAATTTTTCTCAAGGTCATCAATGCTTTCTTCAATGGACCTAACAGACCTTCATTATTATTATTAATAGGTCAAGGTCAATTTCATGATTTACGACACTATTATCTTTGCTTGATCTTGTAGCGCTCCAGTTAGATGAGACAATCTCTAAATTTCTGCGGACCAGAAGCTAAAAGAAACGATAATTCGACTTGTTTCAGCATACGTTGGATCGGCGACATCAGTATATTTTGTGTTCCCGGTATACACATTGATAACAGAGACCAGAAATCAAAAGATCGGAAACAGCTCTGAACCAAGATCTCTCTTGTACCAAGCGGATTATCATGTCGATCAAGAGACATATTTCTTTTGGATAACATTGCACGCTTACTACTTAACCCTACTGACTGTGGTTCTGGTGGTGGCAATGGATTCTTTTTACATTATCGTTATTCATCACTCCTGTGTTCTGTTTACTATCGTAGGGTGCGCAACTTTGATTTTACAGCAGCCTTACGAGAACTCGAAATAAAGCCTCCTTTTAAAGGAGGTCTCGAAAATTACAATATTGTTCTTGAATGATCAATGTATTCTTCCTCTGAATAGGTTTAAGCTAAGAACAGCGCATATCGTAGACAAAACTATATTGTATAAAGATAACGAGTGGCAGAAGCTTGAAATCATAAAGCTTACAGCAGAGGAACAAGAGAAAACGTTTCGGAACGTTATACAATGTGTCAGTGAGCACAACAGAGCACTGCAGTAAGAGTACATTACTATACTGTATATTTATGTATCAAATCACTATATTACTAATTTCGACAATATTTTAACGCCTGTTTCGTTTTGTACAGATACGTAGACCTTATCCAGTCAATGTTCTCGACGACATTATTAATTCAAATTGGTTTGAACATTGTAAGCCTGAGTATCAGTGCAGTGGAAGTACGTGACCAACGGGGAATAGTCCAGTAGTCCCAATTTGATTACAAATACTTCTGAACTACTTCTTATTCCAATCTCATGAAATTTTGTAGATGCTGCTATATATGAATCAAATTGAAATAGCACTGGGAATGGGATGCTGGCTAGCCGCACAGGAATTCCATTTGTTATTCCTTTGTCTTCCTGGACAGAGACTCTCAAACTCCAGCGAAAACGTATACTACAATTCGTAAGGGTGGATGTTTGAACTCGTGTTACCGACCACGAACAGATTTTTGGCCAACTTCTCGCACAGCTAAATAATAAACTAATGATTATTATTGTAGGTTGGAATGCATGTGGTACCTGTTCTCCTCGAAGACTATAGTAGTTTATCAATTTTTCCTCCAGAACACCATACAAACTCGGGAATTGATAGCTATGAAGCTAACGGTGTTGAATATGGAAACATTTCAAGCGGTTTGCATGTTGAAACGATGATCCCTCTTTTAGAATTAAGTAATAATCGATCCAACTCGACTAAATGAAAATCTCTTTTCAGGTGACTCGTTTGGCTGCATCATATTTTACGGTGTTGTCGTCAACGCTGTAAATAAAACCAGCTAACGAACAATTAAAAGTAGTTTATATTGGAAAAGTTGTCGCAAGTATTCGTCTAATAAGGTTCTGTTATTCGATATTTACTGTTTATAATAAAATAAAATCGAATGGAGTAGCATGTGACCTTCAAACTTTTATTTACACTATACTTTATTACAATAATGTTCATTTTACTTTGATAACGTTTATAAATTGTTCTTGAATAATATGCTTATTAGCATAAGGTGTCAATGATCGGAGCGAATCGATTCTCGTTTACGAAAAATTATATAAAGAGAAAGAATTGAAGCGGAAGCAATAAACTCTGAACTGCGAATTATGGATGCGAAAGTTAAAAGAAGTGGATGAGAGGCGATAACGAAACAACGATTTCGAATTTTTTGAGATTTCTATAGTTTATGTGTGTGTTTATCAGTGTCATTTCGTTTATTTGTTTTAAATTCTGTTTCCTACAAATTTTAGGGGCTCGGCTTATCGATTAGAAATATTGTGCACAAGCTTCATTAAAATACAAGAGCAATGAGTACCACTGGTTGGAATGAAATGCAACTACGAGAGAACTGAAAGAGTTATCGAAGCTTGGCTTGTCTGTGAGAGGAACAAAAACGGTCCTGATAATAAAGCTAGCGAAAACGAAAGAAGTAATGCAGCATTCGCGTGATTACGCGGCAATCAGCGAATATGTGCATGCAAAACGCGCCTGCATTACTCAAGAAGCACTTTCCGTGTCCATCTGATGGAACAGCAAGGATTTCGAACATACCACACATGTAGTAAGTGTATCCAGGAAAGAGAATAATGAAAGCATAAACATTTACATGTAACGTTATGTGTTCTGTCGGTCACAACTATAACGTCGTTAATATTATAATAGAAATTCTCTTCCCTTGGTTGAAATGTTTAATATAACAATGTACCGTAACATAATGCGTATCGTAAAATACCATGATCCCTGGCATAGGTTGCAGATTTCAAACTTACTTATTACGTTAAAGAACGGAACGTCGTTCACGCTCGAAGAGAAACAAACTGATGGAACACGTCCAGGATATGAGGATCGAGGTCCGGAGTAAACAGGAGAGTCTCTAAAGTCGACGAATACTTTTGAACTTGTTCGTGATGCTGAAACAGAAATTAAATGGACGGGTTGATACACGGTGATAATTGTTTTGTTAAATTTTATAAATTTCGTGCAGGATGTCTTACAGTTAGAAACACTTGCTGTAATCTTCCTATGGTCCATTTGTACCAATGAGTATTGTAGTCTATGCCATCAGTATCGCAACGTACGAGATGTTCGGACAAAATCATTATAAAACGCTGAAGAACGAATAAATTAACACCATTAACATCACGTACTTTCATGTAAAAAGAAATGATAAAGGTATGTGCAATATATACTTGGAAAATGATAAGAAACAGATTCTTCTGATCAGCCTGCGCCGCCTCTAGTTTCTCTTCCATTCTTTCTACAACATCTTCCGATGGTTTCTCTTTGTTTCTATCTTTATTGTTGTCATCATCCTCAGAGGATGATCCCGATCTGCTTTCCGCTCTCCTCAGTTTCTCCCGTGCTTCCGCCAGTTCTGTGCTCAACTTGGTTACGTGTTTGTTCTTCTTTCGGATCGTCAAATGGAGTATTTCCCAAATATACAATCTGAAGAATTAAGGTTACTATTGTTAGTTTAAACCAGCTGAATGACATTTCAAGAAAATATTAATATCTTAAAAAATGTCATAATTACTTGGTAAATTCGGGTGTCATTTCTTTAGAAAATATCCAGTTTGCAATGGCGCTACATTCAATGATACCAGTCTTTAAAAGTTTATCGGTTAAAACCACTATCATCTGATAATGATTCTTCCATAATGAGTACATATTTCTTAAAATACAAATTTGCGCCTCTTCTGTTTCAGCAAGTACCTAGGTAAATGAAAGCTTATATTCTCGAGCACTTACAATTGTATCGTGATCAAAGTAATTATATCATCTATTTGATTCGACATTTTACCTTGAAAACATAATGGAATTTTCCTATAGCTGCAAAACTATGGCTAAAACTCTTTGATCCTAGGTTCAATAAAGTCTGTACGAAAACATCAATTTTCAACGGACTGAAATTATTTGTCTCTTCGTTTTCTCGAGGACCTGGCAATGTGTTCAACACATTCAATACTTCCTCCGGTGTACACTTCCGTCTAATAGAAACAACCAATTCGTGAGCTGCTGCTGTCCCGGGAAGAGAACCTGAAATAAATCAATGGATATACCTCAATATCTTAGAACCAAATGTTTGCTAGAGTACTTAGACTGTAATTGTATCTTTGTTACAATATTAAAATGTACTTACTAGCTCCTTCAGAGGTATACTTGTATATTGGTTCTGGTGGTGCTGGAATCAATTCAGCATATGACCCTGGCATCATATCACGTATTCTTTGATAGTACGATAATCTAAACAGGTATTTGAGAACGATTATTTTATCTGTTTTTTTTTGTTTTCCTTTTTCATATAAAATAAATTTCCTCAACAATTAGGCTTAATACCACTGAATAGTTTGGCAAATAAATAGTTGATAAATATTGTACCGTAAAGCTTTAAGGAGCACTTCACGTATAAACTTTGGCCTCGGATGTTCCGGATCGCGTTGTAAACACGAATCCCAATCCTCCCACGACCAACGGAACTGGAAGTTACTTAAATGGTAAGCGAACCACCACACAAAACGATCGAAGGCAGTAGCAGCCATACTGTCTATGCGACGAAATAAAATCTCCGTCGCTTGCGCTAACACCTAGAAAAGATATTAATGGAAATTATAAAAAATATTAATTAAATATTAATGAAATTATATGAAATGAATTTTTCGTTTTTCATATCTTGCAAAATTCTCACTTGTGGCATAGTAGATGGTTGTAGCTTGCAAAGTTCGATCAAAATCGATCCGTAAGAAATTTCTAAATGTTTCGGTGCTGGCAGTCTGAATAACTCACCAAATATAACTTCCACTATGCAATAGTCCAATGGTATTTTTGCTTTGTATGGGAAATTCAACAGCTGTGCTGCGCTATAATATACATACTACTATTATATATCGAAATTGCTGAAATGCTATAGAACAGCAGACATAGATATATGGAATACTTACCAATCTTTTCTTTCAAAAAAATAATTATTGATAATTTGCCTCAAGTGCTCTTCTATGAGGAATCTTTCTATAGCATGACTTCCAGGTAATAAAGGTCCTTCAACTGGACAGTCTGTATAGTCAAACATACGAAAGACAACCGTAGGTAGAGGATAAGAATAAGATTCGTGATGAGGCGGTGGCATGATTGTTGGTAGATTATGCTGTAATGCTTCGCACAGTATCGAATCGAATGCTAGATAAGGTCTAGGAATATGCTTTTCTGCCCAATTGTCTTGTCTAAGCTTCCGCACTTGAGCCCACAAACAATCTAGATACTCTTCTTGAGGATGAGGTGTATCGCTAGACCAAATTCTCAACGTTGGTTGATGCTTCTTACTTCGTTTATTTAAAAATATTTCTATTGTCACCATCAAATGGTCCAATTCCTGCTCCTTTTTCTCATATAACTCTCGTCCAACCCAAGGCAATGTTGACAATACAGCATATACATACCTACAAAGTAAACATTTAAGCATTCGAATCCTTAAACAAAATGTAATGGATTTTCTTCCCTGGTAACATTATTTTTACTTACCAATCTCGTCTTACTTGAGGTACACCATCCTCATTAGCAGCATCCAACATGTTATCAAACAGCTGCATTAATGACCCACAAGACAGAACATGGCAATTTACTAGATCAGCCAAAAATCTTAACGAGTATCTAGCTACATCCCATTTGCAAGCTTTCAATGCGTCCTTAAAATTCTTCACCATATAATCAACAAATTCACCGCCAAAATTAAAATTTTTTGCATTTAGTAATCCAACAAGAGTAGTATATATTGTACACTTCTCTGGCATTCTGATTGCACATTCTGTCAAGATCCTAAGTATTTTACTACGAAACAATCCAAGATCAGCTTCCAATACAGAAGCTAATCCTTCGAGATTACTTTCTAAGGATGACGTAGACTTCTCTCCTACTCTTAAAATAAGAGATTCGAGTCGATCTTCTATCTCTTGATTCTCAGATACCCTCCTGCGTTTCTTGTATGCGCGTTCTATAAAGAATTTGTATTATTAAGAAACATAGGAAGTGAAATAATTTTAACCGATAGAAGCCTAAAATTTTCTGCATAATGTAAACAGACATAGTAAATGAATCGAGTAACGGTAAATAAACAATTTTCAAAACTTAAAATTCTGAAATTATTAAAATAAATGAAAAACGCGAATTTACCGTAACCATCTTCTTCCTCGTGAACTCTTCTGCGACTCATTTTTCAAACATCAAACATATAACGACGGCTTTCTGTAATCGTCCAATTGCCACGTTTCCGCTGTACTTTTAGATATTCGTTTATCAGAAGCCAGCTAACTGTGAAGCATCGTAAACGAACCTAACCCCCTGTTCTCCAACGATTGGTTACTTATTAACTGATCGTTCCAAGTTCCAAAGCCAAGCGTTGTACATAACCTGGTCACATACACGAAATACACGAAACTACAAATGAACAGATTGTACAGTACAATGTCCCAGGGAGAAAGAGAGAGAGAAAGAGAGAGAGAGAGAGAGAGAGGGGTGGTGATTGGTTGATTTGTAGAACGCTCTGTGGATAAAATTCAAATCACCCGTCACATTAATTGGATCATCGTAATTATTTTCAAATTATACTGCGCCTATCACAATGTACATTTTTCAAGCTTTAATTTGAATCTCCGTAAGGTAAAAAGTTTTAACGGGAAAATATTCAAACGTGACTTTATATTCTGTACCGGTACGTACAGCGCCAATTTCTAAATAACAAAATGCTCAAACCGCTGGTCAAACGATACCGACAATGTAAGTCACATTAACGACAGTAGCTCCTCTTGCGGCAGAAACTCAAAATACCGTTCAGCAGCGATCCGTACACCGCCAATTAACCTAGCGTCGAAACGATGAAGCTGTTAGCCAAAATTGCCAACACAGTTCGAATATCCCACGGATCCGCCATATTTGATCAACCGATACCGCTGTCGCCATATTTACGGCAAATTGATTTTATTCATTTGCTCTTTGGTTCGTTGAAATTTATGGAAATTTAACATGTATTATAGCTTGTTGCTGCTCGTCGTCGGCAGAGATAGACCAAAGATGTACGAAAAAGAAAGAAATCCGCTCGTACGAAAGGAAATAAGGAACGAACGAAGATAGGCTTATTATCATACTCTTGCATTTAGATTTTATTATATAATATTATGCCATATTTTCAGTTACATTATTTTAAGTGTTTAGTAACCTAACGAATTCGTACAAGCGTACACATGCCTAAGAACTTGCTTGGCTCACATGTGCACTTATACTGGTATGTGTGCGGTATGCGGTCGCAGCCGCATGCGTATACGCATATCCGCATCCCGGTGCCGCGTCTACGCATACTGGTGCGCGTTTTACCTTTATAATAGACTTTATTATCAATATACAAATATTGGAAGACATGGCAGCACCTAGAGGTGCTCTTCTTCAAAAGACATTCTCTTACCTAAAACATTCGTAAATCTTATATTTTTCGTCGAGTTGATATTTTTTGCTTCGATAACTTCGACGCGTAATTTGCACCGTTTATCCTCGGCGTATGAAGCGTTTCATCCTCCGTCGTAAATTTGTAAACGATATGCTAATTATTGTATTAGGTAAACAAACGGCGAGACGCATAGTAATAGAATATTATAACCATCGGTTCGATTTGATTCGATCATTATGTTTCGCGTCAGCATCTGTACTTAGGCTACACGGCGTTCAAATTGATCCGACACCTTGCCGCGATCATTCGCGATCCATGCTCGTACGATAAAGATAGTGCAATTGCAACTCCAAACCCGAAGTCCCGAACCCGAAGCCCCAAGCCCCAAAACCCGAAACCCGAAATCCCAACCCCCGAACCCTNGCCAAGCGTTGTACATAACCTGGTCACATACACGAAATACACGAAACTACAAATGAACAGATTGTACAGTACAATGTCCCAGGGAGAAAGAGAGAGAGAAAGAGAGAGAGAGAGAGAGAGAGGGGTGGTGATTGGTTGATTTGTAGAACGCTCTGTGGATAAAATTCAAATCACCCGTCACATTAATTGGATCATCGTAATTATTTTCAAATTATACTGCGCCTATCACAATGTACATTTTTCAAGCTTTAATTTGAATCTCCGTAAGGTAAAAAGTTTTAACGGGAAAATATTCAAACGTGACTTTATATTCTGTACCGGTACGTACAGCGCCAATTTCTAAATAACAAAATGCTCAAACCGCTGGTCAAACGATACCGACAATGTAAGTCACATTAACGACAGTAGCTCCTCTTGCGGCAGAAACTCAAAATACCGTTCAGCAGCGATCCGTACACCGCCAATTAACCTAGCGTCGAAACGATGAAGCTGTTAGCCAAAATTGCCAACACAGTTCGAATATCCCACGGATCCGCCATATTTGATCAACCGATACCGCTGTCGCCATATTTACGGCAAATTGATTTTATTCATTTGCTCTTTGGTTCGTTGAAATTTATGGAAATTTAACATGTATTATAGCTTGTTGCTGCTCGTCGTCGGCAGAGATAGACCAAAGATGTACGAAAAAGAAAGAAATCCGCTCGTACGAAAGGAAATAAGGAACGAACGAAGATAGGCTTATTATCATACTCTTGCATTTAGATTTTATTATATAATATTATGCCATATTTTCAGTTACATTATTTTAAGTGTTTAGTAACCTAACGAATTCGTACAAGCGTACACATGCCTAAGAACTTGCTTGGCTCACATGTGCACTTATACTGGTATGTGTGCGGTATGCGGTCGCAGCCGCATGCGTATACGCATATCCGCATCCCGGTGCCGCGTCTACGCATACTGGTGCGCGTTTTACCTTTATAATAGACTTTATTATCAATATACAAATATTGGAAGACATGGCAGCACCTAGAGGTGCTCTTCTTCAAAAGACATTCTCTTACCTAAAACATTCGTAAATCTTATATTTTTCGTCGAGTTGATATTTTTTGCTTCGATAACTTCGACGCGTAATTTGCACCGTTTATCCTCGGCGTATGAAGCGTTTCATCCTCCGTCGTAAATTTGTAAACGATATGCTAATTATTGTATTAGGTAAACAAACGGCGAGACGCATAGTAATAGAATATTATAACCATCGGTTCGATTTGATTCGATCATTATGTTTCGCGTCAGCATCTGTACTTAGGCTACACGGCGTTCAAATTGATCCGACACCTTGCCGCGATCATTCGCGATCCATGCTCGTACGATAAAGATAGTGCAATTGCAACTCCAAACCCGAAGTCCCGAACCCGAAGCCCCAAGCCCCAAAACCCGAAACCCGAAATCCCAACCCCCGAACCCTAAACCTCTCTAATCGTGGTCGCCTGCACACTCCTCTCTCGTCGTAGAATTCTACCATCCGTCCGTCCATTGCTCGCGTCCAACACGCTCGGCGATGTCCATCGCGTAACAGATTTCTCAACAATAAATTCATTTCATTTCACTTCATCTCGTCTCGTCTCATTAGTAAAAGTATTACGTTGTAAGTTCTCTTGCTTTCTCTTTTTCTTTTTTCTTGTTTTCTTTTTTTGTTCTTTTTTGTTCTTTTCTTTATGCCTTTTGCCTTTAGTAATCGTTAATACGTTAATACGTTACATTTTGCTTAATATTCAGTATTTCGTTGCTCCAAGCTTCGTGCAATATCCCAATCAATGTTCACGCGTAATTTATTGTACGACTGCGATTACTACTTGAATTATTTCGAACGCAATACAACGACGACGACGACAACGACAACGACAATGACCAATTTGTAAATTGTAATGGAGGAAGAAGGGGCGCACGATCTCTACGTTTGCCGCGTAAAACGATCCGAAGCGAAATCGATCTGAACTTTTGCACGCGCAAGATCCATCCGGGCCGTATCGCCGGAATTATGTTATGTATCGTGTCCCGATGGCTCCGATACGAGAAGGCGGGCCTCTAGAGGATCCTCTATATTCATCGAAACGAAACTTACGATTAAGATGATAGGCCTACGCGACGGACGAGTTGAAATTTGGAACAACGAAGAGGAAAAATATTGTTTTTAATCTCTTCCATCCGTTCATCAAGAGGTGAAATTGTCGTGAATTTGTTACGCTTTGTTATGCTTTGTTATGCTTTACAAGCTTCACCGTGATCCGTGATCCGTGAAATCAGAACATCCGAATATCGCATTTATTTTATAACAGGAAACGTTGGTTGCACCTTTTAACGGTCGTCTTTGACGAACAGTGTGTCTCTGTCTGTATGTGTCTGTGTGTGCGCGCGCGCGCGTGTATGTGTTGTGCATTCACCAAGATAAATTGTCTCGAACGTGGACGATCAAGTTTCACGTGTAACAAATCGTTTTCCACCTTTACAAAGTATGTATTGCAATCGTTGGTGGATGCATCTTCGCTATACGTTAATAATTAGGAATCGGATTCGACTCTGCACGTGTTTTCTGTCTCCGCCTGCATCTGTGTACGTGTTTGCCGTGTACGCATTGTATTATGGATATGTACGTGTACGCGTGTGGGTGTTTATATCCTGTGTAATACGATTAAGAAATATTCACAACTTTCTCGCAACAAAATGTATGAGATATGTAACTATAGATCAACATTAATATTATGCATTTTTATATGCACACGTCTGCGTGCAAGCATTCGCATACTCGACGTATGTGTGAACGTATGGTTGTATTGAAATCTGTGTGTATACTCGTCGATACACGAATGATTGCACACACGCGCGTGCATATATGTACATATATTATGCCGTAAACGTTTCTCTCTCTCTCTCTCTCTTTCTCTCTCTCTTCTCTCACCCCTATTTCTCTTTCTCTTCCACGCGCTCACATAGTCACACAATCATACAATCAAACAGACGCTCTCTCGGCTATTCGAGAGCGAGCTTTCATTGTGCGTACATTCACGAGATGAATGATTTTACACCTCGCGCGAATCAATGTAAGTAGGTAACTTGGTGGCGTTCCGCTGGTTCTCGCATCATACGTTCGCATACGTGAATGCACGCACTCAGCGAATCACACGTTCGTTTGCTCCGTTCACTCGCTCGCTCGTTCGCTCTCGTTCGTTCGTTCGTAGGCTCGTATTTGTCAAGTACAGGTATTAAACGAATCAACTAGTATACCATTTTTTTTTTATAACTGTTTCATAGAAACGACAACGCTAAATTCATTTCAAAAAGATAATTTGCGAATGTGTGTACAATTTGAATCCGATTAAAGTCACGCCAACCGGGACGCGTAAACGACAGACGCGATCGCGAGCAATATCACGAAAGGGGAATTCCATGGACGACCCGCGCCACCGCAAACTTTGATTTCCATCTCTTCGGGGTGATAGTTTATGCACTTCGGCGGCCTCCGGCGGTACAGGCGTTCTCTTCTCGCGCTACAGGCTCCGGCTTCCGTGATCGCCTCTATAGGCTCGATGCTCAGCTGTTTGCTGCCGCACGGGCACAATGTGTCCACCACCAGTAAGATCAGATTCGTGTGTCGAATTTTTTGCACGCTGAACGGCCTGCAATTATTCATTTTCTCCTCGTATTTTCTACCCAATCTACGTTCGCCTACAATCGTTTACGATCGGCCGCGTAAAATACCGTTCGCAGCACTTCGTGCACGTACCTTTCGCAGCCGGTCACGTGACAGTTGGTCAACTTCCCCTTCAAGGGATCGCTCTGCCCGCTGGTGTTGAGTCTTTCAGGCTGCAAAATGTAAAGATCGGTTTTTTTCTCACAGGCGCGGAGCTTCCGTTGCGGATAGTAGGCGGACGTGGCCCTCGTCGTGCTCGGAGAGGCGGGAGAAGCGGCGGCGACCGACGGAAGCCTGGGAAACGGTTGATTATCGTCCACGATCGATTCGCCGGTCGAATCCGAGTCCCCGTTCATCAGCGAAGCGAGTTCCTGAGCCTTCTCGGCCGTGTCCGTGAAAATCGCGCCGTCTACTAGCAAATAACATGGAGCGCATAATTTCTAGTTCAAGTAGGACGAGTAGCCGCCTCTGGCGTCCACAGTTCAAGCATTAGGTTGTGTAATAAGTCCGTTTCAAAGTAGACACTTTCGACTCTTATTTAAGCTAAATTGCGTAGAAATAGCTCTACGGGAACGTATCTTAAAATCCATCCGAACTTCTCCTTTCAAATCCTGTAAACACCATGATGTCAGACGTCGATTCCTTTTAAGTTTTCAAAATGATCTCGTCATTCTATCGCAATACAATCTACCCTGCCTTAAAATAGACACTTCTGGCTCTTATTTAAGCTAAATTGCATGGAAATATCTCTACGAGAACGTGCCTTAAAGACCATCCGAACTTCTCCTTTCAAATCTTGTAAACACCATGATGTCAGACGTCGATTCCTTTTAATTTTCCAAGATGATCTCGTCGTTCCACTGCAACCTAATTTACTCTGCCTTAAAATAGACGCTTTGAGCTTTCGTTTAAGCTGATCTGCATAGAAATAGCATAGCAATTTTCCTTGTCTCTTCCTAGGTGCCAGAGGTCAGCGAACGGACTTATTACACAACCGAATATTAAAGCATAAGCTCACCATCGAAATTCCGCACAGACTCGCCGGCGAACGCGAAAGCGATCTGCCACAAGTTCTGCACGTTGAAGCCGAACGCCAAATTCCAGAGCAGGTGACCAAATAGGGTGATCGTTGTCGCGACTGACTCGGGAAACGTCTTCGAGGCCGCCGATTGATGAGACTCTTGCGGGCTGCATTTACCCTGATAGTCGGTCACCGTTACCTTCCTTAAATACGAGCACACCGTTACTCGAATCGGGCCTGGCCGAACCGTTCGGGAACTGAACTCCGAGCTCGCGTACTCGACGCGTTCGCAACCATCGGCGTCGTGCCCGGCCGCAGCGCGTTCTTCGAATTTACCTGTAAATCCTGTCCTGCACCAACGAGTCCATTATGGTGCCGTCGATTTCGCCAAAAAATTTCCCGGTGTGTTCGTGACGTTCGCTGATGATGATGAATCCGTTATTGTCTAGGATATAGCAGTCTAGTTCCTCGGAAGCACAAGTTTTCTTACAATTGGTACCGCTACACTGTGAAAACGTAAACACTCTCGTTAGCTCTCCCGTTCGCGTTCCCGTCTTCGTCTTCTCTCCGGCAGAGAAAATCGTAAGTTATGGTACCGTGGAAGTGATGTTGACGAAATGAGACGCCAACGACGAATGCTGGAATTGGAGACCCACGACGGCCGCTGGTGCCTTGTGTCCTTTTCCCATGAACACCGCGTGCGTAGCAGTCACCAAAGGATTGGGGCTGTCGGCTGGGGACAATGAAAGAAAAATCGTTGTACCAATGGCTGGTCCCGATCTCGTTTCCGCTTTGTGCTCGGAGCCGGGAGTCGGGGGGTTCGGCGGGGTGAGGTCTGAGAGCCGGGAATCGGTACGGCAATCGGGAAACGGGAATCGGAATCGGTATCGAACCGCGTACTTACCGGCGTCAAACGGCACGCTGAAGACGAAACTTTCCGGTTCTACCGAATGCTGATCGACGGCGCGTTTGTACCAAGAGGAATCCATAGTTCTCGCATATTTCTCGGCGAACGGTCTGAACAAAAGAGACAATCAAACGTGAAAGCGATCCCGCGGCACGGCCGTGCGCTCGTCGCATAGAACAGAGAAACACAAGAGACAAAAAAGGGAGAACGATCTTTGATCGTGCTCCTGAATGATTTTGATAGTTACGGTTCTTCGATCGACTCTTCGTTGCTTTGCTGATGCTCGTGCCAACGAAACAAGCCGCTTCTAGTGGCAATGAAACTCCGTGTCACACCGAATCTGCCTTTTCCTTGACTGCAAATTTTCGAATCGATTAGAAAACGCTTTGCGGCGCACACACCATTTGAAACGTAAACCGAACGAAAACCATAAAGGATGATAAGGACGCGAATTTTCTTTTCTGGCTAGACTCTCGCGATCGGTATAGAACATTGCACGAGGACACGGGGAACCATCGGTTGTCCGTCGTTATCGCGTGAAACATGTACGTGTTCAGTCTCGTTTGCTAATAATACATTGATTCGACGTCGTCGCATGGATTGCCTAGGAATAAATCGAATCGGTCGGACAGACGATTAAAGAGATTACGGCGGTTGCGCGTCGATCGGTTTGCTTCGATGACACCCGGACGGTCGTGGTATGAAACGGCAGCCGAAATTCGAAAATTTCGCGAGTCCATTTACGTTTCAATATTCATCGTTAAGATTATTCAACGAGAAGATTCGTGCGCACTTATGCTAGAGGCTATGGGTCGAACGTCATCCGACAGGGATCGAGCGAAGGCGATGATGAGGACAGGGGCAAGGATGAACACAGGTGGCGGGATAGAAGGACAACGGACGGGGATGGTTTTCTTCGGACGGGAAGAGGAGATTTCTTAAGGGAGGATTTTGTCTCGTGGTAAGAAAGGTTTCGTGACGGGGGATATATGTACAGTTGCCCACAAAAGTGTGAGTACACCTTTTAAAGCGCAATAAATTTTTGAAAACTGAACTAAATGATTCGAATTTTCTTTTAGATGACGGAGAGACTAGTCTACTGGACGATGACTAAAAGACTTTCTCTTTTAATTTTGCTATTACTTGGAGTGAAAAGAAAGAATTAAAAACCCTCGTTTTTTAACTCTTTTTTACCTGAGCTTATGACGAAAATTTAAAAAATGCCTTTCGTAGATCCCGGTAACTTGTATGCGTGCTGATAATTTGATCGAAATCGGTTAACCCAGAGTCGAGCTACAGGCGTTGAAGGATCTTAAAAAACTGCAGATTTCTTGCAGTTTTTGATCGAAATCGCGATGAAACTGCGATATTTGCGATCTTTAATTTGCCGTAACTCACAACAACGTCCATCGATTTCGATCAAATTTTCAGCATACATATAAATTACCGAGATCTACATTTTTTAAATTTTCGTTATAGTAAAGTTAAAAAACGGGAGATTCTTATATTTTTTTTTGTCATTCCAAGTAATAGCAAAATTAAGAAAGAAAAAGCATTTCGATCATCGTCTAGTAGACTAGTCCCTCCACCATCTGAAACAAAAAAATTCAAGTCACTTGGTCCAGTTTCAAAGAAGTTATCGCGTTTTAAAAGTTGTACGAACACTTTCGTGGGCCGCTGTATGTTGTATGTAAGTACGTATCAGGTAATATTCAATATACTGCATATGAAAAGAACCACCGTGCAAAATATCGACGAGTGCGCTTATACGAATAATTGTGCATAATGGATTACCTGTGCAGTAGAGCCATCAGTATGGCAATAGGGCTAGCGATGGAGACACACAATATAAAATGTAATAAAAATATGCAATAAAAGATAACATTGTAAATGAAAGAGATTAGCCGTTGCGCATAGTACGTGTCGCGGCCGTTCGAAACATCGACGCACGCGTGCATGCGTTGCTGCAGCGTGGTTTTTACCTGCTCTTCGTTTCGGGCTAACGAAACTGTTCAATTCGTTCTGTTTATCGTCACGCATAACGGAGAGAAAGAAGAAAGGAACAAAAATATAGAGGACTCGACGACAGCAACGAAGACATCGCGCAGTCGTACAGGAACCGAGAACCGAGACGCAGATTCTGTATCGTCTGCGGTTCACCGGTCGCACGTGTGACACAAACTCCTCGGCGTTTCTTTTTCGTTTTTTTCGTCCGCCGTCCCTGTACGTTTCCAGACAGAAAAATATACGTTACTTTGAAAACTAACTGCGAGATAACGATACGACTTTCGTTCGTGTTGCTCTCGAGCTATNGGATCTTAAAAAACTGCAGATTTCTTGCAGTTTTTGATCGAAATCGCGATGAAACTGCGATATTTGCGATCTTTAATTTGCCGTAACTCACAACAACGTCCATCGATTTCGATCAAATTTTCAGCATACATATAAATTACCGAGATCTACATTTTTTAAATTTTCGTTATAGTAAAGTTAAAAAACGGGAGATTCTTATATTTTTTTTTGTCATTCCAAGTAATAGCAAAATTAAGAAAGAAAAAGCATTTCGATCATCGTCTAGTAGACTAGTCCCTCCACCATCTGAAACAAAAAAATTCAAGTCACTTGGTCCAGTTTCAAAGAAGTTATCGCGTTTTAAAAGTTGTACGAACACTTTCGTGGGCCGCTGTATGTTGTATGTAAGTACGTATCAGGTAATATTCAATATACTGCATATGAAAAGAACCACCGTGCAAAATATCGACGAGTGCGCTTATACGAATAATTGTGCATAATGGATTACCTGTGCAGTAGAGCCATCAGTATGGCAATAGGGCTAGCGATGGAGACACACAATATAAAATGTAATAAAAATATGCAATAAAAGATAACATTGTAAATGAAAGAGATTAGCCGTTGCGCATAGTACGTGTCGCGGCCGTTCGAAACATCGACGCACGCGTGCATGCGTTGCTGCAGCGTGGTTTTTACCTGCTCTTCGTTTCGGGCTAACGAAACTGTTCAATTCGTTCTGTTTATCGTCACGCATAACGGAGAGAAAGAAGAAAGGAACAAAAATATAGAGGACTCGACGACAGCAACGAAGACATCGCGCAGTCGTACAGGAACCGAGAACCGAGACGCAGATTCTGTATCGTCTGCGGTTCACCGGTCGCACGTGTGACACAAACTCCTCGGCGTTTCTTTTTCGTTTTTTTCGTCCGCCGTCCCTGTACGTTTCCAGACAGAAAAATATACGTTACTTTGAAAACTAACTGCGAGATAACGATACGACTTTCGTTCGTGTTGCTCTCGAGCTATCCATTATCCAAAATCCCCTCGCAATCTCGAGAGTTTCTCGCCGTTCGTGTTCCCTTTTGCTTTTCCATCTGGTCGGACCGCTGTCGTCTTGGATTCGTACCCCGTGAAACGGTAACCCAAACGGTAACCCGACGACCAACAAATCGGTTCTCTTGGCAATCGGTTTCTCCCGAACGGAGAATCGTGGAGTATCGTGGTGTATCGTGGAGCATCGTCGAGATGGTTATCGACGATCGACTGCGTGTTCGCGACACGTCTATGCGAGACAACGGCGGGGGAGAAAGTAGAGGCAACGGTTGTTACGATATCCAATAAAATACGTTATTCGATATAATCGGTGCGTGAGAGAACCGCGTGCTTGTGCATTTGCAGTGCATTGTCCATATTTCCACTATCAGTGTCGACGGGTGACGGACATGCATCCGCGTTTCACACGCTTCGACCGACTTACCTCTGGTTCTCCTCTTTATGCATCGGGCCTCTTTTATCGAAGCCATCAGTTACCAACGCATCCAAAACCAGAGCCTGCACTAACGATTTATCGCCTGGAACGAATCGGTCGAGATTAACGATCGGAGTACTCGAGACGAGTATAAATATTAAAAGCGAGCGATCAGCGGATTCTGTTCCGCGGACAACTCGACCGCAGGATACGGTAAATTGTCCCTAATCGACGCTCAGATTGTGCACGAAAATGGACAATTTGAGTGAAGGAGATACGATTATTCGAGCCTTGCGGCTCGTTTTTACCAGGTGTTGACAATAAAATACGAGCCGTAAATGTTCATTTTCGTGTACCAATCCGAACGTCGATTAGGGAGAATTTACCGAACTCCCGTCGCACACTTACAGTAGTAGGAATCTTTGTCGGGCTTGCTCGCTTGCTCACTATGGTGCGAGCTTGGACTCCTTGGTCTCAAGGACATCCATTTCCAGCCCGGATTTCGCGCTCGCGACAGAAAATACAGAACGCGATCTTCCGGGGTGGAGAACCATTTTTCCGAGGCCGAATTATATTCGCAATACACCCAATCAGGATGGACCTTCCAGTTGGTTCCCTTAAAGTATTCGGTCACTGGAACAGGCAATAATGCGGTCACGATCGAAGTCAGTATCATCCACGTACGCGATCCGCGTTAGACGGACGCGAAACTTACCGTTTATTATGGCATGCTTGATCTCCTGTTCGGCCAATAGTTCAAACATGCCGTAACCGTCGGGCAATGCTAGTCCCAACGAGAACGGTGTGCCCTCGATCGACTTGTAAAAGTAATTGTGCCGTCTAATGGTGACCCTTCTCTGTGAAATGTATTTTTTTTTTTGGTTAAATGCCAAGTACCTATGCAGTAATTTCTCCCGGAAATGCCAAATTACGGGACGTTTCAACTCACCATATCGTCGTAATGAATTTTAATCGCGAAGTTGGTCTCCCCTTCCTTTTGATCGATCATATCGTGCCTCAACTAAAAAACCGAACAGAAACATACCGGATATCAAGAGGACGTTCTCGCGACGACACATTCTATCCTAAGCAGAGTAAATATCTATTGGAAATTTACGTCGAGAAGAAGGGAATTGTTCAACGGGTGCGACGGACCGTCGTACTCGGCGAGTTCAACTTCCGACAGGTCCACGCTAACGTAAGCGGGTTTCAACGTTTCTTCGTACTGCAAACAACGAAACGATTAATTTTTCTCGATATCCTTCGTCGTTCTACAATACAATTCGATATTTGTATCGTTATCATAATTCTGTTTTGTCTACTTACGTCTACGTTGCTGGGCTGCTTCGATTAGAAAAACAGAAATAGAAAAAAATCGAATGTCAATGACCGCCGATACAGCAAAATAACGAAGATAGCATCGTAAGAAATTCTTTCTTGGAAATACTGCTGGCAAGAGGCTATCGTAGTACTCACCAAAGGCCGCAAATCCGGATGATACAAAACCCTACCGTTATTGTCAACAATGAAAGAATATCCGTTGACGCCCAACTGTAAATCACGAACAAGTTGTTGTTTCATTTAGATGCCGGTTATTTATTGTAATCAATTTATTGTAATCGTAAGAACAAGTGCGAACGCGTCGCGTGTTTCCGTACCTTATAAGGAGGAACGAGCTTTTGAATCTCTTCCACGGGCACATCGGTACCGACGATACCCAACAAATTGGCAGTCTTCACCTGCGAGAGAGATAGACAGAGCGAGAGAGAGAGAGAGAGAGAGAGAGAGAGAGAGAGAGAAAGAAAGAGAGGAAGAGAGAAAGAAAAATAGTTAAGTACTTGGATTCGTACAAAAAGTACATTTAATCGCTTCGTCTCGGTATCGAATATTGCTGTACACGGGAATTTCAAATGAAAACTTGACTTTGCGGTCAACAAGATTGCATATCAACACAATAGTATTCTGGTAGACGAGACGAGACGAGATAGAAAGTAAAGAGGGTATTACCGTGTAATTTCGACGGTCCAAGATCGGTGCGGTAACCGATAGCATCAGCTGCCCGTTATCTTCCTTGCCGTATCGACCACTCTGCAAGCGTAACGGAAAATCGGATATGAAAAATTAGTGGGCGAACTTGTATTTGCACGATGTACGGTGGCTCGAGAAAGCGTACGAGCACATTTTAAAACGGAACAACTTCTTGAAAAGTGGATCAAGTGGCTTGAATTTTTGTCGCGTCTTTATTAGCGAGCTTTTTATTTGTTTTCGTCGTTCCTGCCAATTGTAATTTCTAAATAAAATTTTGTAGGAGTCGCCTAGTTCCTAAACTAGTCCCTTGACATCTTCAAGTGATACGAATAATTTGATGCAATTTTCAAGATGTTATTCCGTTTTGAACGGAGTTCGAACACTTTGGAGCCACTCTGCATAATGTACGATGATATCGATACCTTTCCACCGACGTAAACTGGACTCCAATGGATAGGATGATCGTGTTGGTAGAGCACCATAGGCCGGGCAAGGACTTTCACGTATTCGAAAACTTTGCTCTTGATCTCCTCTGTGTCGGTGATCCTCGCATAAAATCCTGCCGAAGAGGAGAACAAGGATTACGGTTGCGACGATTCGCGTGAACAATAAAGAAACAAGTTAAGAAACAAGCACCTTTGTTCGCGCAAGCGGTTTCGTGGAGCTCCGGGCTCTTGTCACCCCCTATGAGATAGGTGAAGATTCGAACAGGCATATGGGGCCAATTGTATCGTTTGATCACGTCCGTGGGTAAACCGGAGTTGTCCGCGGTGATCAACATAATGGCTTGGTTGCACTGGCTCCCTTGTCCCGTTCTATTGTATCTGTGAAGCGTCTCGAAGACAGTTCCGAGCGCGGCCGATATGTTCTTCGGCATCTCCTCGTGCTTCAGCGTGCTCGCCGCCACCTTCAGCTCCTGCACGTTCTCCGGCGACGCTTGGATCAAGCTGTCCTTGAAGCACTGCACGATCTCCTCCGCGGAGTCGCCGTAACGATAAACGTTCGCGTAATCGTCCGGGCCGAGCGTGTCGAGGATCGTCTTCACGGTGCTTATCGTCAGCCGTTTGATCCGCTCGGACGCGTAGCATTCGATATCGACTAATATAGCCAAATCCTTCGGACTGTTCGCAGCTCCGATGAACCAATTTGAAATTCGGAAGTCGTAGACGTCGCGGACTGGCCGGTTCCCGTTTCTTCTCGAGCCGGGTCCACGATTCGACGTCGGCGGCCAAGAAATCGCTGCGCAAACAGACGATACTTTCTGAATACGGTAAATTCTCCCTAATCGACGCTCAGACTGTGCACAAAAATTTACGATTCGACATCGATCGTCTACAATTATAAAAACGAGCCGCAAGACACGAATAATCGTATCACCTCTTCCCAAACCGTTCATTTTTGTGCACGAATTAGGAAGAATTCACTGTACATATAGCACGGCGTAGGAAGGATCGCAGGAAAATGGAGAAACGTTGCGGCGTAACGTACCGGGGAAACGTCGCAGAAATCCCGATGTCGCGCCGTAGTATTGCCAGGACAGCGACGGGTCGCTCTCGTAATTATTGACGAACAATAAATCCAGGTATTCGCTCCATTGGATGCCGGCGGTTACCTCGCGATCTGAATGGAAAGTTCGGAATATGTAATTAGAAATGAAAAAAAAAGAAAAAGCGCGATGGTGCTCGGACGCGCGACCCTGCCGATTCAGAGAGAGAGAACAGGGCAGCGGATAGAGAATCGCGCGGTGTACACGTGTATAATTACAATCGTCTTGTACGCCGGAAGGCAGCAGGACCGTCGATAGCGTGAGGTTCACGGGCAAATGGTCGAAGTGCCGGCTGGATAGCAGAAAATCCTGACCGCTCGTCGATGATTTCCCATCCGGCGAATAGGCGTCCGTGCGTTGCGAGGAATAATATTTCGGCGATACGTTTCCATCCCTGGGAGCGGATACAGCTGCCTGTTCGGCGCTCTCCACCAATCTCTGTAATCAGCCACGGATTCCTACATATATACACCGTGGACGCGCATACTCGATCCTCGTGGTACCACCCCGTATATGCTCGTAGACGCGACCGGAATTCAAAGGAAATCGAAAGATTGGAAATGACCGAGCGACGGGGCCACGGCCACACGATTCCCGCATGGTCGCGGATTCTACGGCACCCCCCTTACCATCACGGCGTTCATCTTGAAGTCCAACATATTCTTCACCTCGGCTGCCATATCTCGTACCAGTACCATGCCGTCCTTCTTGATAACCTCGGCCTCCATCTCGTGGTATTTCTAATCGGAACAGAGGAAAATAAAGAAAACCATTCGAGAGTCCCGCATACGAACAAATCGGCGAGCCGATTATACATCACCCCCTCCACACCCCCGGCGCTTACTTACCCTCTGTATCTCGCTCATTTTCGTGACCTGTTTGCCGAACTCCCACAGGTCCACGCCGAACTTCAACGCCCAGTTTTTCACTCTGAAAAACGAAAACGTAGCATTTCTTGAACGTTGCCGACGACCAGAACCGCGTGCACGAGGAACGTTCGTTCCGCTCGTGCACGAGATAAGGGGAGTTAACGACTTTCGCGCTGCCAAGCTATGCATGTACTCTCCCCTTTTCTTTATCGGGGAGGGGGGGGGGGGGCTGGCACTCAGCTCTGCGGGCGAACGGTTGCTTTTTCGACGAACGCGTCGCGTTTCCGTAGAACGGTTTCGTCCGCGGCAGAAACGATACACGCGCGTGCAACCTGTACGAACGGCGGCTGTAATGCGCGACATTCGACCAGCAAATGGTTAATACAACGGTCGAATCATCGTCGATGATTGCGACCATGTCGGCTGTGTTATTCGGCTCTGGATCACGTATTTGTTTAAATCGCGTCGCGTCGCATCGCATAGACGCAGGTGTAGAGGCATAGGTGTAAATGTAGGCGCGGGTGTAGTTGTAGATGTAAAGGTGCATCATTGATGCGTTCGCATGTACATACAGGAGCACGTGCGCACGCACGCACGCACACACGCCGATATAACTCTGATCCCTCGTTAATCGACTGTGTACGTACGCGTAACTCGAGCACGCGCCTGCGTTCTTTCCATTCTTGCCGACGTTCTACGAATGGTCCATGTCGAAACCGTACGTGCACGTTCCGTTGCAGTTTCCTTCGTTTCTTGTCGGCGCGACAACGACAACTCAGAAAAATTCGAGCGGAAAAATCCACGCGAACACCGAAATATGTCCGGGTTAAACGACCGAAACCGTTCGGTATACAGCGCACCGTGCGTAAATTCGTGTCTCTTCATCTCTCCCGTGCCCCTCCCACCCGGCCGCCAATATAAATACAAAAAAAAAGGAATCTACCACCGCATGCACAACTAATGTAATCGGTTCGCATTTCGGAACGTTAACGCCCCTACGCACGAACACCGTTCGGAAAACCGAGATACATAATATACACATCCTTTAGCCGACGGAGTGTTCGCGATCCGGATCGTCGCTGTATCGTGGTTATCGGGAACGAATCGATCAAGACACACCGTGTACGTTCCCTTCGACTCGGCGACTCGATTGATGGCCAAACTCGGCGTCGAATTTGTCACAGGACATACCCCGCGACCCATCCACGCCCTTTCGACGAAAAGATCGAAACTTCCTCGCATCTCTTTAGTGACACGATTCTTGCGACGCGGCGAACGTACATGCCGTTTGCATGTACACGTACATACGTTATGTACATACTAGCGCGTATATATATATATATATATCGTCGTACATCGGATCGTATAACATAACATGCAGCGTATCGTGTACGTCGTATGCCGTATAGCGTGTAACGTGCAGCGTACAACGTATAGCGTATAGCATGTAGAGCGGTTAATGAACTACGATCGAATGGAAAATAAACGATTTATTTATACTCACTCGATATGAGGTATGTCCTCCTCTTGCTGGTAACTCGATCTGATCCATAACAGTAACAGCACACCGCAGCGAAAGAATTTGGCGACGGGCAAAAGCATTATTTCGACTGTATCGATCGGCCGTGCGCGAACCGAAGACGGGACCGAAGACGTGAAAAGCAAAATCGGAAATGCACGAGGCCGAATCTTCGGGCAGGTCCCCCGCCGGAGTTACGCGTACTACGCTGGTCCTACGAGGCAATTTCTTGGGGAAAGAATCAGTCTTAGCGCTCCCTCGTAGTAACGATCGATCGGCCGGAATATACGGGAATACGGGAATCAACGTGTTACGTGCGTCGAGTCACTCTGTTTCCGACGGAATCTTGTTTATCCGCGGAACGCACGTTTTTCCTTTATACGCGCAGAAACCGCAGGCTGCTGGCTCGCACACTTTTTACGCGTTCACGCGTACCAAAGTTTTCACAGATCCGTGTTCTATCGTTGCTCGCATTTCATATTATTTCCGTCCGGAGAGTATTATTTCCGCGTTTTCCGTTTACCGTTCTCGAAAACGGGGACGTCGAGCGAGAGATAAGTGTGTTATAGCAAAAAAATAAGCTTCGTTTCACCTCGAACGGGTTATCCAACGGTTCTCGGAGATACTCGGAAGCTCTTTCTCCGTCCTGGAGCGTGCGGAGACGTTCCGCTGGGATACGGTTACGTTTAAGATTGTCACTAGATCGACGACTGTGTCCACCGCGACGGTGCAGCGGGGACGGTAACGGTAACGTTCGAACCTCGGTTGCTGCGAAATTCGTCCGAGATTCGACGAGATTCGACCGTAGGGAGGACGGGCGATCTCGCAAGGGGGTAAACTCGGCGACACGTAATAATTCACCTTGAACGCGCGGCCCTCCTCCGTGGACGTTTCTCGGGACAAGACGGAAGCTCTTTCAGCGACTCGATCATCTCAAATACAATTGCTCGATCGATCTGTACGCGTGTACACAATCTGTTCTACCGTGCGTCGAGAACTACGGTCCGAAAAGACGACGCGCCGAACTGTCCATCGATGATCAAGGGGCAAACCAAAGAAACGACCTTACGTTACACCACAACCACCACCACCACCCCATTAAATAAAACGGCGTTCGCGTTATTACAGTTACAGCCGAAGTTAACGTTACAGAGTTAGGGGATTAGAGTTCGAGTTTACGAATTAGGAGTTAGAGTGAACGGTCTCCGTCTGTGTATTATCGTGTCGTTTTAGAATCGACGGGTGTCCGATTCGTACCGTCGAAGGAATCGTGCATGGTATTCTCGGTAGGGTTCTCGCGGATACGATTTCGTTTCTACGGCTCGCGATTGCACCAGCGTTTACCACCTTGTCGCGCGATTTCTCAAGTATGTTCACACCGTAACGCGCAGAGGACCCGAAAGAATGAAGAACGAGGGTGGGATAGGGGAGAAGACCGAAGAGGAAAGGAGAAAGAGCGAAGAAGGGGGTGTATAGTGGGAGCGTACCCGAAAGAGGGGAAACACGTACGGCGGTAGAAAGAAAGGTGAACCTGATAGAAAATTTCGATATTTCCACGTGAAACACGCGTGTCACCGCGTATACGATAACGATTGTGATCGCGGCCGAGATTTTCCCCACTGTTCGCGCAGGACGTTAATTGAAATATCCGATCCGTTACGATCGTGCTTTCTCGTGAAAATTGTTCAAAGATGGTGTACCAGTCGCTTTACGTTCGAGCCAAGTGTGGCTCGGCTCGACTCGACTCGGCTCGGTGGCTGGCTGGCTGGTTGGCTGGTCGGTCTGGGTGGTTGGTTGGTGGACGCGCGCGCGCGCGTGCGAGCGAGCTCGCCGCCACGCCAACCTTTGCTCTTACCAGAGACTGTACAGACCGTACACGGGACTGACTGTACGTCTACGTCGGTGGATTCGGCCGTTTTAGGAGTAGCGCTATTCTACGGGTGTGAGTACGTACTCGCAACCACCCCTTAAAAGAACGACCAGATGGGAGCGTAGCAGTTGACGAACACCTACTAGTGTTGGTAGGTTTGTGATGGCGACAGAGGGGCGGCGATGATCGGTGGCGGTGGTGGTGGTGGTGGTAGCAGAGCTGCTGGGGGTGGTTGAAGGTGGTGGAGGTGGTGATGGTGGCGACCGGTAGTGGTGGTAATAGCGGTGGTAGTGGCGTCGTCGTCAGCGTCGGCGTCGGCGTCGACGATGGAAAGGGTGAAACGTAGTACGAAAGCAACGGCCACACGGTTACGCGACGGTAGGTAGGAGTTGCTGCAACGACGCGCGAAGGGAGCAGCAGCAGCAACGCGCACCACAAACGGCTCGACGGGGAAGTAGGAGAAGCTATACGGCTTAGACCGTCGACGAAAACACCCGAAACTAGGGGATTAAAAATCAAGCCTCCGATATAAGAAAGACCGAAATGTACCGAAGAAAACACGATAGGGCAAAGACAAATACTAGTAGGGGTATCGGTAAAGCCCTATTTCCATAGATAAAGCAACGAACAAGACGGACGAAGGTTGATTTTTCGACTAGCGGGAACAAGATCCTCTCGACCTCGCGGCATAATAGGGGCAACTGTAACGAGGCGCAAGCCCGGCATCATTGATTTAACATGCGTCTATAGCTTGCCGCATAAACTTGAATTTTTCCAGATTCCATGGACCCAAGGAACTTGTCGGATTCTCGAAATTTTTCAACAACTTCTACTTATCATCGAACATTGCCGCAAAAGGGTCGAACCGTACAAAGAAAAATACGATTTCCTAGGTTTCTTTTTTTGCAGGATCGCTACAGGTCGATAAGATTCTTCCGCAGTCGTCGTACTTTTCCAAATCTCATTTATTTATTTAAAAAATTGATATAGAATATTTAAAGTAACAATTTAACGCAAACATCCTTATTTATAGAACTTATCAACTTTCGGTATTGTACGATTTATCGCGATTAATGTTTACTGTTACTGTCACAGTTTTCTCTCTATTTTCAATTGTATCGTATATATTCATTCCTTATGTCGTGATTTCCATTATTGGTATGGTTCAGCTGCTGATGTAAACGATATTGCCATCGTTGTTGTCGTTACAATTGTACAAAGTAAAAACCACAAAGATTCTTTTTAACAGTGGGTGGAAGGGAGGCAAAGTAAGAGGATGATGAAGAGGGAGAGAGGTAAGAAGAGGTAGAGGAGGTAGAGGATAGGAGAAAGGAAAGAGGAGTAAGAGTCCCATGTTGTGTACTTCCTCGATAATGATTACACTGCCTGCGATATAATTTCGTTCACCCGCATATTGACAATAGGGCGAAGTTCCTGTTGAGCATAATCTTCGGGCAACGGCAACTGCAACACCAGTTGAAGTATTACGGTAGATTTGTTTTCGTTTGCCTGCAACAAGCTTCTGGCTAGATGCAACGTTCTTTTTGCAATTTCTGCTTGGCAGAGTCTGAAATATAGTACAGTTTTTTAGAAAATAGAGAAATTGGGAATGCGTAGTTGACAGGATAATGTTAGAAGAAAGGGAGAAATCTACCTATGCTTTGCGGTCGGACACGGAAATTGATTAATCTTCAAACACAAACATGTCAATCGCGGTCTCAACAGTTCTAATTTGTAGGTGATTTCATGAGGATCGGCGCCTCGCAACAATGATTCAATATCCATAGTTATTTCCATGTATTCCCAAAGTAAATCTCCTTGATAAGACCAACCGCTTATAGCACTGCTGCATTCTGGAGGAATCAACGGACTCAGCAGGTCGCGTAGGTACTCGTAATTTTCTGAAAAGATTGTTAAATCTGATAAAATGAGATCAAACGCAGGCATTCGCGTAGTTCTCGAATCAAAATCCTATCGCGCGTGATGTGAGCGGTAAGCGAAAAGAGAAAGATATACCATTTATTATAGCATCCGCGGCGAGATGTTCGATAATAATTTCGTGCGCGGTATTCCACTGTTCCGCCTCGATGAAATAGGACGCAGCCTCTCCGTATCTGAAGCAAGGAAATTCATTTCGAATCAAGGTGCAACGGTAACTACATGCAAAATAATAATAGCATGTATCTGTAAATACACCAACCTTTTGGCCACATAACTTTTCACAGCTTTCGCTTCATGAATCCAAACCGAAGGTATGCCGAGTTCTTCTCTCAAAAATTTTTCTCGCTCGATATAATCAGGTATATTGTCGATTTCAGTGTGTCGTTGTAACAAATTTTTTACCGCTTCTTTCCTTTTTCCAGCGTCCTTTAAATGTAGCATCACGAATATGGCCCAGTGCCAAAGACCGTATGCTTCTAATTGCGTGGCAAAATTGATGTGCGTTAACGCGGCCACGTGTTCAGAGAGATGGGAATAACCCAACGCTAACAGTACTTGTTGCATCAACCAACTGTAATTGTAAAATCGAGCCAATAGGTAAAATATCTAAACGACTATTTAGAAACCCTTGCAATCCATGCCAAAAAGAAATATTTGATAACTTGATCACCTGAGCCTATAATCGAGAGGATCGGCGGTATGCGCAGCAGGATTCAAAAGTTCTCCCAGCGTGTGATTACCGATACAGAATAATTTCAGTAGATGATAGCACAGATCGTATATAGTCTGTCCGTTGTTTACCTCGAACTCGTAATCGCTTGCCCCTTTGTATTCGGGTATAGGGGCTGCGGCATAAGCATACGTTGCTTTACTTGTGTCGAACGCGGATTCGTAAAGCTCCAACGTGTCTCTGATGGAGGCGACTGGAGACGAAAAATACCTGTAATCAATTAAAGAATTAACGATTGTTTTGCATTAAATAGTTCTGCAGGTGCTCGAAGACGAAAGCGGAACAACTCCGATGTATCAGGAATTTACCATAGATGAACGGCTAACGCTCTTTTCCAATCAAGATCCTCACAAACGTTGATGAGACCATGTTTACTAGATACTAGTGGTTCACCTGCCACTAATGCGAACAATTTCAACCGATCCGTCGATATGTTTTCGTCAACACCAGAGTCTTGCCATAATGCGATTTGCTGCTTTATCAAAGCTTTCGTTGGCATACCGCTACGTAATTGCGCCATAAGTAATGCCAGACAATGATCGCCTGCTTCTCGCGCGATTTCACAAGCGCCTTGTAATTCAGAAGCTACAAAGAAAAGAAGAAAATGTTGAACCTTTCTATTGCGATCGCTTAGTATCCATTAACATGAATAACCATTTTTACATACCGGACAATAAGTCCAATATTCTCTTCTCATTACTGGTCTTTGTTATCTCCGTTTCGAGTGATCTTTGTATAACGCTCTTCAACCATTCGCCTATGGCTTCACGTCGAGCCACCACGATATTGTGATCGGCTGGATTTGCTGAAACGATCAAATAACAAATATAATAAACACGTTTACTCGGGAGAATAACGTAACTTACCGGTGAGAACGTTCACGTCGGGTAGAGTTCCCCATAGGGCCACGCAAAGTTGCCAAACATTAGCAACATACGCGGCCGAACTATCGGCAGAAAACTGTTCGACGAATTCTTCGGCTAAACTGCAGTGCGCGTGCAAAGCCATGCTCGCTTTGTTAATATCTGTATCCACCTCGAAAATTGGACAGTCTCCCTCTTGATCCATTATACGGTGTGACAATTGAATCTTCAGGTGACCCTCTATGCTTCTCTTGAATAAGGAACCACAGAATTTAATTCTCAATGAAAAGATTTTTGATAAATAATATCTTCCTGTTCTCTAAAGTTATTCTTACCTCGAAAGATTCGATGCGATCTTCTTCGACCCCGTTACCGTCACCCAAAATTTGTATCCGCTGAACGATCGTAACGGACGTTGTATCTTCGGGACGACGACCATTCACGTACGATCCAATGTATTCGAACGAACTATGCAGCGGTACGTCGTCGGCTTGGCCTCGTGTGCTCAGCGTCAGCAGTGTTAAACCGCGTCCCCAACTGGGTCGAAACATTCTTCCCATTTGTATACCTGTAGAAATGTCGTATCCGTTATGAAATATTCCGCGTACAGAACGGGCGAAATCATTATTAGGATGATAATATTACGTACCAGCATCTGCAACTGAACGGGACTGTAACTTGTTTATAATGGATTTCGATAGCGGTATCACTTCAGAATGCCATTTCAGAATCGCGGTTACTGGCATCACAATAGGGTCTGGGAAACTTTTTCCGTAGATTGACGACTTTGTAGCAACGACATCCATAGATGATTTTGATTTAGTATCTAATAGAAAGACATAGATTGCTTAAAAATATAATCGCTCGGTACAATTTATTAAAACTTCGCTAAAAAAAATTCACCTGTTTTAGAAAGTATCGGCGGTTCATCGTAGACGATGGCTGGTGTATGGTGGACCGTCATGTTTGATCGTAGTATCGGACTATAAGTCATCTTTCGCCTATGTTCCTCGTCCACAGATTCAATGGTATCGAAATAACATCGTGCGACAGAATTTTTCTGACCAGGAAGAAGTAAGGTACGAGTCAAATCTACAATATAGAAAAAGAGAACAATTTAAATATTTGTCAATCATAGAAACATTTGTTTGGTTCGTGTACGCATTCGCACACATCGTGGAGAATGTACCTTGTTCGTATACTTCATTCATCTCATTGTCACTGCCATCAAAGAAACTGGCTTTCATCAGTTGTAATTTATGACTGTCCGTGCCCAAAATTCGAGCGTTGTCACCTGTTGGACTAACTGGTGATTGTTTCTTGCGATCATGATCTAGAAGAAATATCTCAGAATTAGAATCAATCCCAACGATAGTGATTATCCAAATTAAACGACAGTCGAGTCTCTTATACCGTTAATCGAAGATTTTCCGTAAAACGATATCCTCGAGGGAGATTTTCCCTCGTACATTTTCGAATCGTAGGTCACGCCATTTACACCGTTTCCGATTACTCTATTCTCCTTGAAAAAAGACAAATAAAAAACGTAAAGAGTGCCGCAACGCAAGAACGATCGATACAGTCTCGATTGCACAACATCGCATAATCTTACCGGCTGACGATTCGATTGTACAAGTTTGTTTGAAGCTTTCTGTTGAGACATAGCAGATAACTTCAATCTCTTCGGATCGTTCGTTGAAGGTGCATTGTTACTGTCGTCTTCGTCCGAATCGCTCAAACCGTATTTTGAAAAATGCTCGACCTAAGATAGATAGAAAGAAAGTATATAGAGTTGTGACAAATGGCATACAAGTACAACCAAAAAAACGGAGTGCGAACCATTCTTTTTCATTACCTTGAAGACCCATGAACCAGTTTCAGGGCGATATTCAAGAAATCTGGTATCGTGTTTCGCGGATACTCGTCGTAATTTTTCTTCGTAATCCATTGCAGCCAGTCGATGAGGGTCGGTTATAGGTTTGTGTAAAGATTTATCGTGCGGCCATACCCTGTCCAAAGTCACTTGCGCTTTTCTATTTAATCCCTGACCTACCGGTGGCTTCTTCTCGTCATCCGGATAAATGATGACCTCCTTGTGTCGAAAATGTACTAAAAGTGTAATGAAAATATCGCCATATATATATATCACCGAACAACGAATTGGTAGAAACGCGATCAAGATTCAAGTTCGCTAACGTACCGATTTCATCCAAATTCAGTCCATAGATATCGAACGAATCAGGAAAATATACATTTCCGTAACCCTCTCGTCCAACTGTGAAGTTTGGGACGACGCAAGTTTCTCCGCGAACGTAATCCTCCAATTTGTCCAATGGCGGAATAGTATAATAGCCTGCACGCTTCAATATCACTTTTGCTGCATTCGGCGTTTGCAATGCCCAAAACGAACTATCGTTCAATTCTTGACTCGAATCTATAACAAAAAAGACCATAGTGTAAATCATAATTACAAAGCGCAAAACAAAAGGGTGTTTTATTGTTGGTTGATGTCCACTCATACCAGTATTCTGAGCAGTGATCTCCGTGCCCGTTTGGTCAGCTGTTGAGGAATTCTTTATCGACGTATCCACGGAATTGTTCATCTCAGCGTGTATTTGTTTCGATGAATTGTGAGCAGCATACGGCCGTAGTTCAGTCACGGTATTATTTATTGCTTCTTCCGGGGTTGTATTTAACGCAGAGTACGGCGAACGTTGTCCGTCGAATGATTCTTCCTCCAACTGTTTTGTCGTAGAGTTCCGAGGGAGACTCGTCTTCAACCTACGGGACAAAAAAACACTCAAAAATTTATAATGATGCCCTGCTTCTCGAAACTCGTAACATATTAGACTGTAGATCTACCAAGATGTCGATGATCGACGGTCGTTCGCTATTTGACGATTATTATCTTGACTGTGGTTTTCTTTATCTATGGCCTCGATGGATCGATTATTAACAGAATTATCTAGCCCATTCATTGTACTTTCTCCTTTCTCTACGGACTGCGAATTCTTTCCCACGACTTCGATTGGTGACGATACAATCGAATTACTCATAGATTTCGGACGTAACACTAAACGCTTTGCATTTGGACGGGGCTGAAATGCTTCAGAGAGTGGATCCTCCTCCTCGAGGCCCTCGAACATCGATTTCTAGAAAAAGAATTTACGGTGCAATCGTTCCATATATTTATAAATATTTCTATCGATTAAATATTAATGTCTTTCTGATGTGTGATTCACCTTTGATAATTGTGCTGGGGTAACCACTTTAGCTTTGATTTTCGGAGATTTGTTATCAGCCGTAACCTTGTACTGAATGCCATTGGCTATTTTTGAAGGCGTATTTGCAGGTTTCAACAGTTCTTCAGTTTTACCAGAAGCCTAAAAATATATCACAAATCTTGGTACAACTTGGCCTATCGACCAAACCAACTCATAAATATATGTATGTAAATGGATTTAAGCATACTTACTGGCAAAAGGTTTTTTAATAATGGCGAGTCCCCAAATGGTGCTGATACCAGTGCCAAAATCTGCTGATGTACTGGTACGGTTCCAGAACTCTTCGTTTGATTGTTCGACACGCTACAATTCAAGACAATAGTGAAATAACAGAGAAATTAATTATTTTCGCTGCAGATAAGAACATAAAATATAGAATTTGATCGTACCCAGCACCGAGTAAACCCATTCCCATGCCAGTTCCCACATTTGAATTAGTTCCAAAAGTTGATGATCCAAATGATGAGGAAGGATTGAATGTTGCATTGCTACCAGTATTACCGAATAAACCACCTGGTTTTTGTTGTCCAAATAAAGTAGAACCACTACCCAGAGTCAAACCCGTATTTGCACCTGCGAACAAAAAATTCATTCGACGATGTTCGAATCAAAATCTTTAGCACACAACATACCCAGTCCAGTCGAAGGTGCAGAAGTTGAACCAAACGAGAATCCAGACGTCTGTCCTGCAGGTTTAAAACATGTATTAAATAATGAAGTACCAGAGTTTTGACCAGCAGTGAAACCTGTTGTAGCTCCAAAAGTCGTTGCTGTAGTCGCACCAAATGTGGATGCAGATCCGAAACCTGTTGTTCCAGTGGATTTAGTGCCAAATAAAGTTGAACCTGTATTGCCAGAAGGTGTCTGACCAAAACTGGTGAATGCAGTACTAGACGATGTAGACGGCACATTAAAAGCAGATTTGTTTTGGTTAAATAAACCAATACTCTATAAGAAAGAATATTCAGATCAGAACAAGCATGAGATCATAAATATAAAGACCAATTTCAAATAATTTGTATATTCTTTATATTCCATCTATTTCTTTTCTCTTTCCACGTTACCTGATTTGGTTGTGTCGATCCAAATGTAGGTCCAAAGCCAGTATTTTGAGCTGTATTAATACCACCGAAACCTGTACCAGCAGTTTGATTAGTATTGCTTGTTGCAAAGAGCGGTGTTGGCGCAGCTGCTGTAGATAAAACTGTTTTTAAGTACTTTTTCTTTCACGTCGGTATTCTGATCGATTCGTCGTCGACGTCGTAGCGTATTTGCAAAAATTTAATACTTACTACCGAATGGTTTAGCCTGATTGTTACTACCAAACAAATTTGTGTTCGCAGTAGAATTAAACGCAAAGCTGTTCGTAGTTGTAGTCGACGGTGTCCCGAAACTTGTCATGGGTTTTCCGAAAGGACCGCTCGATCCAGATTGTGTAGTGGTTCCAAAACCGCCACTCATTCCACCAAAACCTAATATAATGCAACAGAATGTATAACTAGTATCATTGATATTAAATTCCAAAATAATGTAATAAATATAAAACAATTATGAAGTTATATTCAAATAATTTACCCGTTGTTGCAGTACTAGTTCCTGCCCCTGCATTGACAAAAGGAGAAGGTTGTGCAGGTGTACCAAATAAACCTGTACTGGGTCCTGATCATTCAAATAAACACGAATGTATAAATATACGATATGCAAAGTGGTGTAATATGTTGTGTATAATTCATTTTCTTAGGTAAACCGTGTATCAATTTACCTTTGCGTCCTACGGAATAATCCTCAAAACGTAATTCTTCATATGATTTCGATTCGTATTCTTTCATTGCCACGATGCAACAGTGCCTCGCTGATATACTATGAGATATTCCATTTTTCGACATAGAATCGGTTGTAATGACAGGAGTAAATTTAACAACAGTGCCAATCACACCAGTATTGGTGGTATTTGTACTGCCAAAGCCTTGTATTAAAGAAAAATACAAAAGATTAGTTTTCTGTCACATTATAGCACATATTATACAGTACCATAAAATGTATCAAATATTTACCAGGTGTTGAGCCAAACAAATTTGTATTTCCGGTACTATTGGTCTGTCCAAAAGGAGTGGTCTGTTGTGTAGTTTGTTGTGGTTGTCCAAATAAATTTGTTCCAGTTGATGCACCAAAGCTAAAACCACCCGGTTTATTGGATTGTCCGAATGCTGATGTTCCTGTGGTTGCTCCGAACAAACTTGTACTGGCATTTTGTTGATTTCCAAATAAATTGGTATTCGTGTTCGTTGTACCAAAACCTATGGAATTATCAGTGATAAACGATGGATTTTCATTACAGTAAATGTTAAGCGATCATCTGCATAGATGCATGAGCTAAATTGTTATTCATCGAAAAAATTAATGAATCGCTACCTCCAAAAGATGGTTGAGTAAATGCAGGTGGTGTTGTAGTATTTCCAAATAAGCCACCTGCGGTAGAACCTGCAGGCTTTGAACTGAAGAGAGAAGTATTACCACTGCCAAAGACTGGCGTAGTCCCGCTACCAAAACTTGTTGTAGCGATTGGTTTACCAAATGCAGACTGCCCAAATGGACTTGTCTGCTGCGCCGTATTAAAACCACCTGTAACAACAGATATTTTCTCATATAAAGCCGATATACAAAAAGATGATGCAACAATTAATGTTTTTTTTTTATTTCACTTACTGAACGACGTATTTCCAGTTTGCCCAAACATGCTTAACAATCAAATCGAAGCTCGTTTATATTCAAATTCAGCACCCTCTGAAACATAGCATAAAATATATAAAATATTTCTAGAAACATATTGGCCAAAATAAATCGAAATTATGCGATATAAAATATAGCGTATTAAATCATACAAAAGCCTGTTGCACTTAATGACTGAATCTTTACGAAACTTGCGTCGTAGAAGAGTTACAGTGAGAAGTTGGATTACAATTAATTTTTTCTTGTGCTGTTACAAAAATTACGGTTAACGGTTAAGACAACGCGATTGTGTGTGCGGTGACATTCACTGTAACGATAAATGACATTGTTGTCAATATTTTTATCATCATACCTTTAATCGTTCATTGCATCCTCGTGAAAGTCGCCCCAAACGTACTTTAAACGTCGAAAATTCACCACGCACGAAAGTTACCTATTAAAGAAATGTTTACAATAAATACTTCACGCGTATACACTGAAAAAGTTGAAGTACACAACAATACAAATCACATTAGTTTTTCAGTCGAATAATTAATGAAACAACAGACTGCCAGTAGTAGATTTCATGCAATAACTGGCAATCACACACAACTCGACGTATGATTAATAACATGCGACGCAATAACGTCGTAAGATCGTAATTCTCGAAAATCGATCGACAGTTTGGCAGCACAGTCTCTCTCACGCTCGCAGAACTACACTTATAGCACTGAACACGTATATGTATGAACAGGGTACAGTTTTGTACAATACGATTCCTACTTATAAGGTTTCTAAGCATAGGGTAGTTGTATGAATTTTTAAGATAAGTATGCCATCATTCAGAATATATACTATATGCTCTAAGATTCAGAAGTACACTTCGCCACCTGGGCAGCTACAAGGTACTAAAAATTTTCAATGAGCATTACATATATGTACGCATTTTGAAATACAATGCCTTTACATTTACAAGATCAGTGTCACCAGTGGTGACTCACCGCTTGTCGCTTTGTTATATACATACGAACAATATGTAGCAATACGTATTGGTGTATACTTCACCGATGTAGGGAATCTTGGTATACAATATCACACGGACTATATGGTTCGTGATACAGTATGAATAATAATTATTATAGTAAACTTGATTGTATTCAATTTTTACTTGTCAACTGTCAGCTGTTTTTCTTCGATATGTATTTACGAAATATCGTTTAATATCGTTTCTGTTTTGTTATATTGTACAACACAATGCAAATTCCAAATAATACTAGCGCCGTCTAGCGTTTGGCGATCTACCACTACCACTAGCCGCTTTCGATATTATGTATCATTAATTGCATTGTGGCGGTTAATTTGAACTGATTTTCGCTATAGCTAAAAGGAAACGCTGTCTTTCTTAAACACTGTATTATTTACAAGCAACTGAAATCAATTTATTTTAATCTTGTCTGTGTATAAGTTTGAAATTTCTGGGTTGCATACATACTATATATAAAAGACTCTGACAAGAATTTCGATTCTGCCATGTATACTCTGTGCTAACAAGCATTAGCGTTAGATGAGCATGCTTATATGCAGCGCAGCAATCTGCTCCATAGAACGTTGTAATATAGATGGGAATGCTATTTTTCATAAAATCTTTTAAAAACGGGAATAAGGTGGACAGTTTATTTCGTTAATTGTAATAAGAAGATAGTGTGGCTGCGTACATAATGTATGTGCATGCGTGTGTGCGTTCGCGCGCACTTCTGTGTATTGTGCTTCGTAGTCGTGTGTAGACAGAACACATTTGTAAAAGTAATGGCTGACTAGTGCTGTTATCACACATATAGAGGGAGACGACCGCATGAATTTCATTCACTATTAGTCAAACAAAGTAACACTTGTATTATACTGAGGGATAAACATCGATGGAAAATTTTATGATTTCGGTTAGAAGCTAATAACTAACCAAGCAAGTTTATTAATTAAACAAAGTTTGAAAGTTTTCAAAAGTTGGAAGGAAATATGAAGTTGTATTTACGGATGTAAAGATGAGGGATAAAATTTCATGAAACACGGGCGTTTGTCATGCGACTCTTCACCACTCAAACCAATGGAGACACATTGCCAAAGGAAGAAAGAATATTTTCGGTCGCGATGCGACTTCGAGAACGTATTTTTTTCTTCTTTCTTAAACTAATTATACATCGACAATTGTCTACGGTGTTACATTGAATTTTTATACGTTTTATTCATAATATACGGCAACATGATCCATACACCAAGTGGATATACATACAATTTTTGGGCAAACTCACTTACAGAGGTCGTTCAATTGATTTGTTTGATGCCAAATGGAGTCGTTATACCGTTCGAAACTAATCGTAATATTACTTTGGCTGAAATTAAAGAGGTAAGCTACGTTCAACTATATCTCTTCTACTTGTTACACAAAGCATCAGTTCTGGAAAGAGATCACAATGGTATGGACTTCTATATAGGATCTTTGGGACGAAGCCAGTAAATATCCTCTTCACGGCACATTAAAAGATGCTCCATCCTATGTATTTTTGTGTATTAATTCTAATGCTGAAACTGAAGAGTTACGAGACGAAACAAGACGTTTGTGCGATATAAAGCCATTCTGTTCTTTTATTAAAGTAGTAGAACACGAAGGTGTGAAAAGCGACAGAAATCTAGATTCACAGATTGGTTTATTAATTGGAAAAGGATTACATGAATTTGCGGCTTTGAAGAATTCGGAAGTGAACGATTTTAGATGGAAAATGCGAGTTCTAGGAGATGAAGTTGCAGTGGCAAGACAGAAAAAAACTTGGGTGGAAAAAGTACGTTATCAATTTCCTACACGATTAGCACCAACTGCTACAGTACCAAAAAACATAGAAAGCCGTTTAAAGGATGGCAATATTGTGCTTGTTACAAAATTTGAAAACACAGAGGTAAGAAAATGTATAAATATTGGTTTATTCTTATTCTTATATGGTGGCAAAGGTTGTAACAGCTATATTAGCACATGTACAAGTAGATCTACTAAACTATAATGAATGAACAGCAACACGCGATAGCACCACTGTCAAATATTATTTGTTTGTATGTAAATGATGTTGTGGCTAAATTGTACATTTTTTGTAGGACATGTATTCTTGTCTTGATTAACGATTTCAACACGATTAAGATTATATGCATCTGTCGATGAAATAGTTTCCTCTACCGTAATATTGCGATTAGTATTTTTTTCAATCTTGATTGAGTCATTGTGTCTTATGGAAACTGTACCACTTGACTGTTGTTCAGAGACTACTTTAGCATTTATTGCATTAATATTATCAGCATGGGTGACGTCTTGAGCCTCTTTGAGTTGCATTTCAGTGTTTACATTATTCTCTTCCTGATTTAATTTTAATTCGCCTTGTAAAGCTTGTACCTGAGCCTATAAAATGAAGTATTTTTTATATAATATAAATACTAATTTGCATAAAATTGATAAATAATTACCTCCAGTAAGGAAATTTTGTATTGTGAATACTGTAATTGTTTATTTAAGTTCATTTTTGCCTCTTCTTGCACCAAAAAATGCGTGGAGAGGTCTTCAACCTTTACACGAAGTTCATCTATTTCCTTTTTCTTAGCACATAATAATAAAGATTGGTATTGCCTATGAGAAATGTTGCAAATAAGTGGAATCTAATCAAATAACAAATTTGAAATATTCATAAACAAAATTACACTTACCCAACAGTCATGGATTCTAACTTTTCTTGATCTGAATCTCTGTTTTTCTTCATTTCAGACTTGAGCTTTCTCTCAAGATCCGATACTCTGCTTTTATATTTCTGCAACAACTCATCCATTTCTGCTGAAGCATTACCTGTGTTGTTTTCCCACTTACTAAGCATTGTGACTTGTTTGCTTTGTAACATTTTGATCTCTGCCATTTGTTCCGCACACTTGCGTTTCACTTCAGCATATTTACGGTTTAGCACATTCATTTTACTTACCATGCCTCGTCTAAGATCTTCTACTTCGGCAAAAAGTGAATTGCCTGAAAAAGAATTATAGAAATTGCAGAAGCAAGAAATATGGTCTTGATAATAGTACATTCTGTGTGTACCTACCTTTTAATAAATCATTTGCAGGTTTTGTATTCAGTGATTCTACTTCAGCACGACTTAATGCAAGCTCTGCTCGAACCTCATCCAAAGTTGTGCTTTTCTCGTACAACTGCTTTGTGGTATTCTGTAGATAAAGGATATATGCATATTTTTATGTATGTATAATAACGATAATATTCTTGTAAAAGTAATGTAAACAAATTACTCTTTACCTGCAAATCAAGCAGAAGTTGATTGTATTGTGCTTTTAACTCCTCGATCATTTCTTCGGAACTTTTCTGTTTTTGGATTTCTAAGTGTAACGACGTTTTAAGTTGCTCTAACTCACATTTTTGAAGTGAGATCTTGTCTGCTTCAAGGGAAACATCTGCCAATTTATCTATGGTTGCCATATGCATGAATTCAGTTTCTTTTTGTTGATTAATTTGTTGGTACAATTGTTCAATTTCTCTTGTTTGTGTTGCCAATTTTGTTTCCAGATTTGAAATTGTATTTTCATATTCTTTCGTAGTAACGCGTTGCCTGTGAAATGAAAGATGAGAAAGAATGACAATAGGGAAGGTTTACAATCGTTTTTTTTTTTTGTTGTAAAAATTAATTTACTTCTCCTTTGCTTCATATATTATTTTTTCTGTTTGCGAAACTTGTGATTCAAGGGAATGTTCAAGTAATTCATTGGCCTCTTGAGTTTCTCGAAGCATTGTTTCATTTAATTCGAGTTTTCTTTTTAAATCGTATATTTCTTGTCGGCATTTTTCGTTTTCGGTTTTGAGTATGTAATGGGTACGATCACCGATTTCTTCAATATAACTTTCGTTGGATTCTTGGTTATTTGTTTCGTTTACTGTCTTGAGCGTCGACATATTTGAAGCACAGAGGACCTTTACTGAGGCGAAACTCCAACCTTTTACAGAATCAAATCTCCAACGCGCATGCGTCGCCTTTAATAGGAATCTTCATTTTTTCAGTCAGTATAGAAAAAGACTTCAGAATTTTTTTGTCTATCTGACGGTTATATTAAAAATAATTTGAAATTATAAGTATTTTAAAATGTTTTGCAACATTGTTGTTGTCCAGTGAATTGAATATATTTTCAACGTACCCAACGGGCGATTAGAGATTGTCAGGTTAGGTGCGATACGCAATGAAAAATTGGCGGGAAGAGTAACTGACTCTCGTTTGTCGACAGTGTTTTCGGGAAACATGATTGGTTGAGTTGGAATGTGCGTAAGAGAATGGGGGTAGGGCGATAATTTTGAATGATGATTACAAGTGAAATTTTCGTACTTTTCAGACGACGTTTACATTTCAAATGTCACACACTATAACACCATACCAATTATTGGTGTCCATTTTAAATAAACGAGCAAACACTTTAATGTCTCGAGGGCATCCGAGCGACTTTACCCTAAAGGTTTGCGGACAAGAGGAATATTTAATAGGAGATTATCCATTGATACAATTCAGTTATATTCAGGACTGTTTAGCAAAAGATATTTTACCGACGTTAGTTACGTTGAGCAAAGACAGTGTTTCTGTAGATCAGGAGACTGCTGTAGAGAATGCAGAAACAGATGGTTTGCAACGTACAAGGCCTTCGTTTTCTACATTGACCCTACGCAAGAAGGGTAAACATACATCAGCCTGGAAAATCGAGGAACCGTTTTGTTTCATAGTGAATGGAATATCACGGTTGAATTGCGATGCCGCTCATCGCACGGTCGAGGTAAAGCTCATTAATTATATTGTGTTGTATTTCATATACAACTGATGCATACTTTCTTATTCCTGATTGGTACAATTTACTTGTAGATCGGACTTCAGGCTGGACTTTTCCACGGCGGTAAATCTTTATGTGAGAGTCAAAAAACAAAAGAGTGTGTTGTGTCTACAGATGGTAGTTGCGAGTGGGAGGAAACTTTAAGATTCGACATAAAAGTGCGCGATATACCACGAATGGCTAGGCTGTGTTTTGTTTTATACGAAATCAGTAAAACCGCGAAAGGATTGAAAAGTCGTAGATTGGTCAGAGACACGAAACAAGAATTTTTTATAAATCCATTGTGTTGGGCTAACACAACTATATACGATTTTAAGTCTCAATTGAAAACAGGAGCGATGACACTTTACACGTGGACGTATGCGGAAGACATGCAAAACGATGATCTACTGCACCCTCTTGGCACAGTAGTGTCAAATCCTCATATAGATAGAGCAGCTGCTCTAATGTTAACGTTCCCAAAGTGAGTTCTGTTGAATTTATTCCATTTATTTTCCTTCCATCTTGTCTCTTCTTCCTTTTGTCTTTCTTGCTTTATGCTTTCTTTGTTGCTTGCTTTTTTTCTCCTCGATCTCTCACTACCATTTTCTCTTTCTTTCTCTCTTTCTCTGTTTGTTTGATCTCGTAGATTCGAGCTATATCTACCTTCTGTTTGGTACAATATTTAGTTACGGAAAGGAGAAATCCGTTCTTTACCCGACTCCGGAAAAGATGGTTGAATATGCGAGGAAGTTGCGCGAATCGTCTACTGAACGATCAATCCAAGAGGAACCGGACCAAGACTCGGATGTTAACAAGCTTCAACAACTCGAACAGCTTCGATTATTGGCGGATAGGGATCCGTTGCACGAGTTACACGAACAAGAACGAAAAGTCATGTGGACGTTGCGGCATCATTGCCTTCACAAAATTCCCACGCTTTTAGCCAAACTGTTGCATTGTGTCGAATGGAACGATCATAGGTGAAAATTTCAATATTCTATAAATTATAGTTGTATACGTGTACTAGGTAAAGGAACGAAATTTTAGTGTAGTTTTTTTTTTCTCGATTTTGGACGCGTGCAGCGAGGTAGCCGAAACTACAGCGTTAGTTCAACAATGGCCGAAATTACCAGTTGAGAAAGCACTCGAATTATTGGATTACGCTTACGCTGATCAAAACGTTCGAAGCTTTGCCGTGCGTTGCTTAATGGATGTCAGCGACGAAGACTTGAGTTTGTATTTGCTGCAGTTGGTGCAGGCATTGAAACACGAAAATTACTTGTCTTGCGATTTGACCGAGTTTTTGCTGAGACGAGCCCTCAATAATCGAAGGATTGGTCATTTTCTATTCTGGCATCTTAGGTTTGCAAAATGTTTGGTCTTTTCGTCTACTTCCCTGCGTCCCCCTGTTTCCTATTTTGCCTATCATGCTCTATCAGTTTCACGATTACATCATTTGATGATCCGCGCTTGAATAAGTAAGATAATACGTTTGGTTTGCAGATCGGAAATGCAAGTAGGTGCTGTATCCGTTCGATTCGGTTTGATATTGGAAGCTTATTGTAGAGGAAGTCAGCAACACATGCGATCGTTGTCCAAACAAATAGACTGCCTGGGGAAGCTGAAATGTGCTTCCGAAAACATAAAGCAACGGAAAGATCGTAAAGCTACTTTGCAAGGTTTCCAAGAGTTCATGCAAGAGCCACACTGCCAAGAAGCACTTTCGAACGTTTTGAATCCTTTGGACCCGAGTTTCCGATGGAAACGGATCAAGTAAGTTGATTACCCACGTGAAAGATTCGTGGTTGAACAGTAAGAGTTGACACATGTATCGTTTAGTATCGTATACGATAGTTGTGAGTCGAGTGAAAGTGATCGATTAACGACGATATGGTTCCTACTTTCCGGCGATATGATATTCGGCTTACAGAATTGAGAAATGTAGAGTGATGGACAGTAAAATGCGACCGCTTTGGCTTGTTTTTGAAAACGATGATCCATTCGGGGACGACATTTACTTGATACTGAAGCATGGGGACGACTTGAGACAAGACATGCTTACGCTTCAGATGCTACGAATCATGGACAAACTGTGGAAGAGAGAAGGTCTGGATTTACGAATGAATCCTTACGGTTGCATATCGACGGAAAACAGAGTTGGAATGATCGAAGTGGTGTTGAACGCAGAAACGATAGCGAACATTCAGAAAGAGAAGGGAACGTTTTCAGCAACGGCTGCGTTTAGGTGTGTTCGATATAAATGACATTTCTGCCAATTGAATTATCCGTTGCGCTTTCATTGGTTTTTCAGTATTGGCCAATCTAAAAGTAACTGCTCATCTGAGCAGTGTTCATTCTAGTGTCAAGCTGTGTTAATTGTACTTTTCGATTGCTTGATACAGGCGAGGTTCTCTGCTCGCGTGGCTGAAGGACCACAATCACACGGAAGCAGCGTTGAACAAAGCCATCGAGGAGTTTACGTTGAGTTGTGCGGGTTACTGTGTGGCCACGTATGTTCTCGGAATCGCGGATCGACATTCGGATAATATAATGGTGAAAAAAACTGGTCAACTATTTCACGTTGATTTCGGTCACATACTTGGACATTTTAAAGAAAAATTTGGATTCAGGCGTGAACGTGTGCCTTTCGTTTTGACCAACGATTTCGTCCACGTGATAAATAAGGGACAAACTAAGAAGGGCCAAGCGCTCGAATTTCAACGCTTTCAGAGAAACTGCGAAGAAGCTTTTCTCGTGTTGCGACAACACGGGGGTTTGATATTGTCTTTATTCGCCATGATGATCTCAACGGGACTGCCAGAATTATCATCCGAAAAAGATTTGAATTATTTAAGAGATACGTTGGTAGGTGTCGATTTTTGTTTTCATTCAACCTGTTTCTTCGACGGTAATAGTAATAATAATAACAGCGATAATAATTTTAATTTGATTCGTTCACTCGTAGGTACTCGAGATGTCTGAAAGCGAAGCACAGAAGCACTTTAGAAGCAAATTTGACGAAGCTCTCTGCAATTCATGGAAAACTTCGTTGAACTGGGCTTCTCATAACATGTCGAAAAATAACAAAACCACGTGAACCGGTGCGAGCGAATGGAACGCGAAACTCACCAAACCAGTCAGAGTGGAACAACAGAAACGGAAATGAAAATAGAGACAGGAATGGAAACGCAAGATGCAAGAAAGAGCAGAATTAACGAGTACCGAACGAAGAATTACTGTTGCATCGTCGCACGGCAAGAAAGAAATACAAACGAAAACTTGAACAAAAGGATTCGAACCGAAAGAATCCGAGTATGTACTACTTTCGACACACAGGAATTGGAGACGTCGAAGATGAAGGGATCTACTCGGGTCGATATCGCTTATCGATTGGGTACGGGTTGCCTTCCTCTCGGACGCGTAAATCGCAAACAGAGACTGCCGCTTCGCCTTTCCCCATTTTACTCTGACACTTTCGACCGTGATGGGAAACGGTATCGGTAGCGGAATAGAAATAGGTATAGGAATAGGTATAGGAGTACGAATAGGATACGAATAGGAATACGTATACGGTACATATCATTGATTGACATTGCGGATTCCTGAAAAGAATATATATATATATATACGCGCGGCCGTTTGTACACATACCGTAGAAATGTCTCATTGCGAAAACGGCACAATAACGTTTCTCGCGTCAGATTACCATAGTGTCGTTGTTCTCTCGATGCGACGACGCTCCTTCTACCTTCCGACTGAATTCGAAATCGATATCGAAATCAGAATCGTAAGGTAAGGAAAAGAACACCGAAGAATCCTTGAAATTTCGGATGCTTGAAATACTATTGTATGGATAACAATAAACAAAGTCATTCTTTTCATCCTGTTCTTCTAATTATAATTATCAGTCCCTTTCGCTGTACGTCGATCATGTATGTATCTCGCAGGCGATTACGCGTACAAGGCCTCGGTGGAGATTCTTTTGCTTGACCGTTGGTTGCGATGTCGGTAAGCTCATGGATCCGTAGAGTCTTGTTACATAAGCTAGCGCAAAGTAGTGGAACGACAGGCGGAGACAGGAGACGCAACACAGAGGACAGCCGATAGAAGGTGGGAGACAGGCAATACGAGAATGTGTGCTTGGTTTGTGGCTAAGTTGCATCGAACCGCTGCGGTGCGTTGTCATGAATCGAGTTGACCGCGCCGAGTCCAACAATTTCGAATCGAATCATTTTCACGGTTTGTGTTCACAGTTTGTTAATGATTGTTATTAGTACCACTAGTAGCGATAGTAGTAGTAGTAGTACTTGTTGCGGTTACTGTTGCCATTGTTGTTATTGTTGTTGTTATCGTTGTTGTTGCTGCTGCTAATCCTACGGGCATTGTTGTATTCGTTCCTGTTTTACGGTAGGATTTACCGATTCGCGACGAAAGGCGTTCCGAAGCTATCCCTTCGAGACTGTTGCATTTCAAGACAAGTTGGATTCCCGGGGAGAAAGAGGATTCCACGATACGTAATCATTTTGGGAACAATATCATTTTGTTTTCCAAAAATCATCGTCGGTCGAGAAATCCGCGAAACAAGAGAATAGAGAAAACTATCAAAGAAAATGACTGCTACAGAAGAGACGGAGCCGCTGCTTTCTACAAGAGTGTTGGCCACTTCCGGAAGTAAATCTCGTGCAGCCTCCTACAATGCGATCACGCTGGTAAGCAATATAAAAGAACTTTCTGCGATATCGTCGACACCCAACTATGTACATACATAATACTTGAATTACTTTGTCGGAGTCCCGACTGTCCCGGCTGTTTCGAGTCGCGAGTCGGAGGGTGAATCGCGTTTGGCTTCCGCTGCCCTTTTAAGGCTTTCCTGTTGCCAATGCCAGTATCTGTTTCAATGCATTGTACGCGCTACTACAATCAATGATCCTCCATGATCGATCGTCTTCCGATGGGCGAACATGAACATTTCGATTACGATTCGTAGGAAGATGACAAAAGGGATGATTCGCGGCGCGGGACAAGCAGCGAAACCCTCTTGAAATTGGAGCCGATTACGTGTTTGAACCTTACCGGAGATCCAATATCGGCGCGTCCTCTTACAAACGAGTCGATTACGTATACCTGGAGCGATCTGAACGTGTACACCGCTAGGAACAACGAGACCATTTGCGATCGACTTCTCTTACGCAAAAAGAAATCGATGGAACGGAAGCATCTACTGAAAGACGGTACGGTGATGAAATCTAAAGCGTATTCTAAAGCGAGATTGAAACGAATATTGTATTGCAGTGTGCGGGGTGGCCTACCCGGGAGAACTGTTGGTGATCATGGGATCATCGGGGGCCGGTAAAACAACATTACTGAACGCGTTAACGTTCCGATCGGCCCGCAGCGTAATCGTATCCGGTGTAATGGCGGCTAATGGTCGAAGAGTCTCTTCCACGATGCTAACGTCGAGGACCGCTTACGTGCAGCAGGATGATCTGTTCGTTGGCACTTTGACCGTCTGGGAACATCTTCTCTTCCAGGCAATGGTACGCATGGATCGAAGGATACCTATGGTGCAAAGAGTTGATCGAGTGAACGACGTGATCAACGAGGTGAGCGAATCGTAAAGTCGAGTCTACGAAGGAGATCTTAGCGTCTCTACTCACCGTTTGTTCCAGCTTGCTCTGACGAAATGCCGGAACACCGTGATCGGTCAGCCAGGAAGAATCAAAGGTCTTTCCGGCGGCGAGATGAAAAGATTGTCGTTCGCATCCGAGGTTCTCACCGATCCTCCGCTAATGTTCTGCGACGAGCCGACGTCCGGTTTGGACTCGTTTATGGCGCATCAAGTGGTCTCCGTTTTAAAGACTTTGGCCGGTGCGTGCTTAAAAATCCGACACGCGCATCCCCGCGGTCCAACACCTATTTCCGTTAAAGACATAATCTGTTCGATTGAAGTTCTCGTCGACCGAACTTCTCAACCCGTTGTTCTATCGTTTACGATTGTATTGTAGCGCGAGGTAAAACGATCGTTGCTACATTGCATCAACCCTCCTCGGAACTGTTTGCTCTCTTTGACAGAATCTTGCTGATGGCGGAAGGAAGGGTAGCCTTCATGGGCACAGCCCCGCAAGCATGCGCTTTCTTCGAGACGTGAGTTTCCGATTTGTTTACCGATTCGTTTCAGTTGTCGGCCGCGTGTCGGTAAATGTTCTTCCAGATTGGGCGCGGCTTGTCCGAGCAACTACAACCCGGCAGATTACTTCGTCCAAGTACTGGCCGTTGTACCGGGTCGGGAATCGTCCTGCCGGCATGCTATACATATCGTCTGCGACACGTTCCAAAAGACCCAGCACGGCGTGAAGATCGCGTTGGAGGCGGAAGCGATAAACGACGAATTCGAAGATTCCCTTCTGGACTCGAAGTATCCGGGCGGCAATCGATCGCCGTACAAGGCGACTTGGTGCGAACAATTTCGCGCGGTTCTTTGGCGATCGTGGCTGTCCATCATCAAGGAGCCCATCCTCATTAAGATTCGGTTGCTTCAGACCATCGTATGTTACGCTCCGGGAACAAATGTTCCCTTGGTTTTCAAGCGAACCGTTTTGTCAATCTATCATGCAAATCTGTCACACAGATGGTGTCGTTTCTCATCGGAATCATTTATTTCGGCCAACGGCTCGATCAAGACGGAGTGATGAACGTAAACGGTGCTTTATTTATTTTCCTTACAAACATGACCTTCCAAAATGTTTTCGCCGTGATCAATGTAAGGACCGTTCGATGCTTATGAACCTACACGTAGGATAAACGAGATAAAAATGTTGTGAATGATCCGTGAAATGTATGCGATGTAGGTGTTTTGCGCAGAGTTGCCGATATTCTTGCGGGAACATCGGAACGGCATGTATCGTACCGACGTGTATTTTCTCTGCAAAACGTTAGCGGAAGCGCCGATCTTCCTAGCAGTACCGTTTCTCTTCACCGTCATCGCTTATCCAATGATCGGATTGTATCCTGGAGTCGATCACTTTTTCATTACCGCTGGCATCGTTGCTCTAGTCGCGAACGTTTCCACGTCTTTCGGTAAGCATCGCGAGTATCTGTCGTCGACGTGTCGGCAACAGAAACTTTTCAAGTCTTGCTTTTATAATCAAGTTACTCTTCCGATATTTTCAGGCTACTTGATATCCTGCATGAGCAGCAATTTATCGATGGCATTGTCTATCGGGCCACCAGTGATAATTCCGTTTCTATTGTTTGGCGGATTCTTCTTGAACACGGCGTAAGAACACCTTTCATCTATACTTCATCGACATATTGGAACACCGGTATATAAATGTTACAGATCCGTGCCATTTTACTTTGAATGGTTCTCCTATTTGTCCTGGTTTCGATACGGTAACGAAGCTCTCCTGATCAATCAGTGGTCAGATGTGGAGTCTATAGCGTGCACGAGAAGCAACGCAACGTGCCCTAAAACTGGACGGATGGTTCTACAAACTTTCAACTTCAACGAGGTTTGTTTGTTTTACGTTTGCTCTTCGTTAATCCTTTTCCTCCCGTTTTATCGGTGCATATGAAATTCGTTTCGATTTGCAGGATCATTTCTGGACGGATATCGCGTGTCTCTTCTCTTTGATAATTGCGTTCCGTTTCCTGGCATTTCTGGCTCTGCTGTCGAAGACTCGACGCGTCAAGCGATGGTAGGAGGAAGGAAACGCGAAACAACGGAGAAGAAGAGATCTACGCGCACACGATCAGGCGTTTCTTTCGATTTCGTTTCGGAGCTCTTTTTACATTTACGAGAAAGTTCATTGCTTTTTGCTCGGCCCGCGGTTTACGCGGTTCTTGCGGCTACTTTACACGGTCGACGTCGACGCTCGCATTATTTGTACGATGTTCCGAGTTGAAATAATTAAAAAAATGTGACGAAATTATTCGAGAAGCATATGATTATCCCCCACGACGAAGCTCCATTGTACTTGTACTTGTATTAGAGGGACCGGAAAGTAATGTCGTTTCTGCGCATATTTATCTGTTTGAAGTTAATGTAAACAAACGACATAACTTTCCGGTCAACCTAATAGTATATCGGGGAAACTCGGATAATGCGAAAGTAAGTATGTATACTGTATTCTTATCGCGCGCGCTTCATAGTTCATACGACAGAACAATAAAGTCGATAAAGCGAGTCTCCTACTTCTGACTTCGGTCGCGGCGTTCCCGTTGTTTCGTACGACACACCTTTACCACAACGGGGAAGGGAAGGAAATAAAAGAAAGAAGCAACGAGAAGGCGCACACGCGAGAGCAGCCGAGTTTGAACGAGTCGTGAACGTAACGCGTTGTGACGCAACGCGAATCAACTTTACCCTCGTTCAAACTCGGCCGAATGCTTGGTATTTCCTGTTACTGCTGTTACTCGTTGTGGGTTGCGGACAGACTTGTAACAAACACCTTGGTTGGCCACCCTTCCAAGCATAGACTCCGATATCTTTGATAAACCGGTTGTTACTTACACCGTGCGAGCGCACGTTCAAACAAGAAAGAAACAGCAATCGAGCAACGTATGTGCCGAGCGCGTTTTGTCCGATGATCGATTTCAACGCGTACAATACGATCGACAATAACTATTGTCAGCGAATCCACTGAACGTTCCAGTCTCGAGGCTCTCGAATCGTTCATTTCAACGAATCGAAAACTCATAGCAGCTTCGGTCGCAAGTCACGACCCGGCCAAATTCAATTTCATCCGTCTACTTTGTCCGAAGGTTGTCCGATTGTCGCAGAACCGGCGTTCTTGCACCTTGTCCTGTAACCGAAATTTGTATGACGATCGTTACAAAGTGAAAAGTACCATGAAATCGAATCTCAAAGTACACAACTGAATGAAAGACTCGCCTACCCCACTGTGCGCCGCACCTCCGAAGAATGTCCACGTCGCGACGAGCCATAATCCTTNTGAAATTCGTTTCGATTTGCAGGATCATTTCTGGACGGATATCGCGTGTCTCTTCTCTTTGATAATTGCGTTCCGTTTCCTGGCATTTCTGGCTCTGCTGTCGAAGACTCGACGCGTCAAGCGATGGTAGGAGGAAGGAAACGCGAAACAACGGAGAAGAAGAGATCTACGCGCACACGATCAGGCGTTTCTTTCGATTTCGTTTCGGAGCTCTTTTTACATTTACGAGAAAGTTCATTGCTTTTTGCTCGGCCCGCGGTTTACGCGGTTCTTGCGGCTACTTTACACGGTCGACGTCGACGCTCGCATTATTTGTACGATGTTCCGAGTTGAAATAATTAAAAAAATGTGACGAAATTATTCGAGAAGCATATGATTATCCCCCACGACGAAGCTCCATTGTACTTGTACTTGTATTAGAGGGACCGGAAAGTAATGTCGTTTCTGCGCATATTTATCTGTTTGAAGTTAATGTAAACAAACGACATAACTTTCCGGTCAACCTAATAGTATATCGGGGAAACTCGGATAATGCGAAAGTAAGTATGTATACTGTATTCTTATCGCGCGCGCTTCATAGTTCATACGACAGAACAATAAAGTCGATAAAGCGAGTCTCCTACTTCTGACTTCGGTCGCGGCGTTCCCGTTGTTTCGTACGACACACCTTTACCACAACGGGGAAGGGAAGGAAATAAAAGAAAGAAGCAACGAGAAGGCGCACACGCGAGAGCAGCCGAGTTTGAACGAGTCGTGAACGTAACGCGTTGTGACGCAACGCGAATCAACTTTACCCTCGTTCAAACTCGGCCGAATGCTTGGTATTTCCTGTTACTGCTGTTACTCGTTGTGGGTTGCGGACAGACTTGTAACAAACACCTTGGTTGGCCACCCTTCCAAGCATAGACTCCGATATCTTTGATAAACCGGTTGTTACTTACACCGTGCGAGCGCACGTTCAAACAAGAAAGAAACAGCAATCGAGCAACGTATGTGCCGAGCGCGTTTTGTCCGATGATCGATTTCAACGCGTACAATACGATCGACAATAACTATTGTCAGCGAATCCACTGAACGTTCCAGTCTCGAGGCTCTCGAATCGTTCATTTCAACGAATCGAAAACTCATAGCAGCTTCGGTCGCAAGTCACGACCCGGCCAAATTCAATTTCATCCGTCTACTTTGTCCGAAGGTTGTCCGATTGTCGCAGAACCGGCGTTCTTGCACCTTGTCCTGTAACCGAAATTTGTATGACGATCGTTACAAAGTGAAAAGTACCATGAAATCGAATCTCAAAGTACACAACTGAATGAAAGACTCGCCTACCCCACTGTGCGCCGCACCTCCGAAGAATGTCCACGTCGCGACGAGCCATAATCCTTGTTCAAGACGAGTATAAGGTTTCCGTCTTCGATTACGGTAACGCGTCTAATCTGGCCCCGATCGGTAATTCCGTGCCTCCTATTATCGTCCGTCTAGCTTTTTTCGACCGGCTCCCGAGTCGTTTATCAGTCACGATTTCGACACACGTGCGAATCGGATGAATCGCGCACGGTCAAGTCTGTAACCGTGCAATGATATACAAATGTTAATAGGCTTGTCGTGTGTTAAATCAATCCAATGCTTCGAGATAAAAAATGTGAGGCGTTCGAATCGCGTAAAAAAGAAAAAATCGACCGTGCTCTTCCCGACGACTTAGGCGAGAGGTTTGGAAAAAGACTCGTGTTCGTCGCATGTAATCGCGATAGTCTACGTGTAGTTATTGAAAGGGTAACGAGTACGGGTGGTTACGAAGGTTCTGCTTGGTCGAAGGAATAAAGGGAAACAGGATACGTTCGGGCGGCCGGAGTAGGAGCCGCAGCGCACTTGATTCAGTAAGAATCCCGTTTGCGGAAGGAATCGGTCGGTCGTCCGTTCGTTCGGTCGGGAGCGAGTGTTTGTTTGCTCGGTTTCGGTTTGAAGAATCTCGAAGTGCGTAGGTGCTGTAAATCGTGGAAATATGCCGTTGAACCGAACCGGTCGAGTTTGAAGGGCCAAAGAATGCAATTTTCGTACGAAACCGAGGGGAACCGATAGAGCGACAACCGCGGACAAGAAGGAATTTGGATTTGCAGATCGTGATGAAGCATTCAACCGAGATTCTTTGGCCCCAAAGCAACGACGATGATCGAAACAGCAACGGGGAGTCGCGTGGACCGAACGCGAACGGGGTAGGCGTCACCCTAACTTGGCGAGACGTTTCGGTTTACGCGATGGACCGCGGAAGAAAGAACGTGTGCAAACAGCTTGTTTACAACGGTGTGTCATTTGATTTTTTATGGTAGTCCAGACGAAGGGTGGTAACGAAGGATGATCGATTTCAGCGCGAGGTGCAGCGAAACCAGGCGATTTGACAGCCATAATCGGTTCGAGGTAAAGTTGCATTTGCTGCGGTCTTTGCATAAAACCGTGAAGGCGATGAAAAACCGATATTCATACTATTTTCTCGAATCATTCTTTTTTTTTTGGATGTTTGAACGTAGCGGTGCTGGGAAAAGTTCGTTGATGTCCGCGCTGGCTTTCCGTAATGGACGTAAGTATCTGATTTATTTTTTAATTGCTTATCGTGTTTAGCCGTGATCGCTTGTTCGTTTCCCTAATCGTTTCACTCAGCCGAAGCTTTGGTTCATGGGGACGTTCGTGCTAACGGCGTGCCGGTTGATTCGTCGTACATGATGGCAAACAGCGGTTATATGCATCAGGAAGATATGTTCGTCGAGACTATGACAGTGATCGAACATCTTTGGTTCATGGTACGGTAGAATGTGTTAGATTTTGTACGGCTTAGATATGTCCTATTATACGTGCATAGATACGTTCGCAGCTTTGAATACGTTGCAGGCTCGAATGAAATTGGATGGTAGAACGCGAATATCCGAGATACGGAAGAAGATCGATCGTTTGCTAGAGAACGTTGGCTTAAACGACATCCGCGATGTACAAATCGGCAACGGTGTCGACGACAAAGCATTGTCCGGCGGTGAAAAGAAGAGACTGGCGTTTGCTACCGAAGTAAGACAGACCCGTATTGCTTTCCATTCATTTCCTGATCAGATCTCATTTTTTCTGGGTTCGAGCAAGCTCAGGCTTTCGAGAGAAAGAAACAGAGATGCCGCTATGGATTTTTTCAGCTGCTCATCGATCCGAAGATACTCTTCCTGGACGAACCAACGACGGGACAGGATTCGCATTCGGCGAACTCCTTGATATCACAGCTGAAATACTTCGCCACGAAAGGACGCAACACGGTCTTGTGCACTATACACCAACCGAGTTCTGCGATATTCGATTCCTTCGACCGCATAATCTTGATCGCGGATGGTCGCCTGGTATTTGCCGGTCGCACGGAACAAGCGTTGCAATTCTTCCAAAGGTATTTCGAACGATATCTGGGATCTATTTATAGAAACGTTATATGGAGGAACGTTGTTATACCGTACTTCGAACTCTTTTTTGGCCTTTCAGTCAGGGTTACGTGTGTCCACGAAATTACAACCCGGCTGACTTCCTGATAGCGACAGTGGCTGCTGGGTCGAAGACCGAAAACGACGGCAAAGAAACTGCGCGGAGATTGTGCGACTTATTCTTATCGAGCCATCTATCCAGCGAAATCGATTGCACTCTTGAAAAGGAAATTCGATCGAAGCAATCCTCGGAAGTAAGCAAATCGTTGCCGTTGCATTTCTACGTAGACTCGCTTGTGCACATCTTTCTCTTATTCTGTTTTAATCAGCGTTTTCTTTTAATTTTCGGTTTTAGTCAACGATAAGGATGCTTATTGGTGGCAAATCCGTCTGGTGAGTATTGAACAAACTTCAAACTTCAACAGCAAATGGTTTCGTTTCGTTTGCGACAGGAGAAGAAAACGTTACTGCTCGCGGCTTTACTGGTTGATTTATCGAGATTTCCTACAAGTTTTGAGAGATCCATCGTTGCAGCTCATCAGAATATTCCAAAAAGTGGCAAGTAAACTCTATCTCGGCTGGTATTTCGATGAAAACTATTCGAGAAAGATCAAACACGCTGAATATATTTCAGAGCGTCGCTATAATCGCCGGACTGTGCTTCGTGGGTGCTGTGAATCCCGATCAACTGGGAATTCAAGCTACGCAAGGCGTACTTTTTATTTTAGTGTCCGAAAATGCGTTCTTCCCAATGTACGCTACGCTGGCTCTGTTGCCGCAACAATTGCCGCTTCTGCGAAGAGAGTACCGAGCCGGAATGTATCCGATTCATCTTTATTACGTCGCGCGAGTGCTTTCGTTGGCAAGTGGAACACGCCACCATTTCCGAACCATTTCATCGAACGTTCCACTGACCAGCTGACAAATTGGAATTTCAGGTGCCTGGACTGATAGTGGAGCCATTATTGTTTACGTCGATAATATACTGGTTGGCAGGATTACGGAACAGCATGGAAGCGTTCGGGCTCACCCTGCTCGTAGTTCTGCTTACGATAAACGTGTCAACCGCTTGCGGTAAACCCCTTTATTGTTGATAGCGAACAAACATTCGCGCTTAACCTTTTAGGCACGACGCGCCACTATAGTGACTTCCGCGGATGTCATCTCTCTGAACGACGCGCCACTATAGTGGCTTACTCTAGTAGCTCACTCGGTCATCGTTCGAATCAAATAATCGTCTTCATATGCATTTTGTTTCACACTTCTTTTGTCTTCACATCGATTTACAACAGTCTACAGAGTGTCCCAAAAATGTCTCGCAATCCGAAAATGGCGGGTTCCTCGGATCATTTGAAGCAACTTCTTCCTTTACAAAAATGTTCTCCGAGGCACCGTTAACGAGTTATTAACGAAAAACAGTGACCAATAAGAATCGAGTACCGCTAACGCGAGGCGGCCCAGCCAACCAGCGCGCGAAGCCCAGTTCCGCTCATTGGCTCGGTCGCCTCGCGCCAGCCGAGCTCGCCTCTCATTGGTCACTGTTTTTCGTTAATAACTCGTTAATGGTGCCTCGGAGAAGATTTTTGTAAAGGAAAAAGTTGCTTCAAATGGCCTGACGAACCCGCCACTTTCGGATTGCGAGACATCTTTGGGACACCCTGTATATACAGTATCAGACTCTGT